AGAATTCATTCGCGGTTGCCATTGTTCGATACAACTGCTGAAGTCTTAGTCTTGTCAAAAGGATTTCGTCATACTCGCGTGAACGAAAGGTGTCACTAGGTCATGGTGCATGTGTTTCTGCAGTTAATTAATGCGACAGCGAGACGAAAGAATGACTTCGACTATGATTTTCCTCATTGCATGCCGCTGCGATGACACGTACAAAAGAGTACCGGATAGTGCTGTTGTGGCTGTGGTGCGCTTCACGAGATTTCAACGTCTGTTGGAATTCACAGAAGAACGACACTCGAGATACTTGCCGAGCCTGTTTATATAGGCTGTACGCATTTCGCGGTCTCGAATTGAGCGTGCCAAGAGAGCCGCGCACTTGACAGGTATACGTATCCGTATTGGTCATAACATGCAGTTGAATCTTTATCGCAAGCGTATACCTCGGATGAAAGTGTCGCCGGAAATTGCCCTTGCCATTTGCGTGAATAACTCTTCCCGGCACATTGTTACATATGGATTTACCACAATGGTTCGTAACAATGTATTTTCCTCTGTTAACTATGCATTTTCCACTTCCTCTGTTGCAGACGCTGTTTGTAAGCATGCGAGATGCATCCCGACGACTTGGTGCTCGGGGCAGCTTTTGCACCTTCTGCGCCAGATTGTCACGTGATGATAGTAGGGCGGCAGCGAGCTTTTAGCTAAGATGGCTGGCCGGATCCAACGTGCCGCGACGTTGCTACAAGAAACCTACATATATAAACTGCACCTACCATTGTTTACAGGCATATTGACCACAACCTACTGTACTCCTGACCTGCCCATATGGCGGGGTACGTTCCTTTGGGAGCGCGTGTCCCCGCTCTCGTTCAACCACCTGTTCGTCTGCTATACTCTACGCCTGTTGGGACGGCGCTAGAGTACGAACGCTTGCGTCCTGTGATGAACTGTTGGCATATATGTGATTATTTCTTCAACCTTGGTCAAGTATGCTGTGCAGTGCGGTTAATATTTATTGCACGCACACTGGTTGACCAACGTGGGAACCGTACACTTACTAGTGTAGGACAGCCTGCCGCGTCTGATTAATTTCAAAAAAAAAAAAAATTCTGATTCACTTCTAGTATATTTAGTTCCAAATTATTTTTCGTTTATGCTTAATAATTATGCAATTATAACGCTCTGTTGGCTGAAATATGATTACGAACGCTGAAGCTGATGTCAGCGAACAGGCGCCGAGTAGCACCACATCGCTCGTAGGTTACAGCCGTAGCGGCAAAACTTAGGTGCGAACTAGACGTGGGGCCTGGAGAGGGGCTATCTGGGCAGGTCAGCAGTTGAGTAGGCCGCGCTTCAGACCTTAGAGTACCTGGATGCCCGCTCCTCCACTCCGCGGGGCCGCGTGCATTGAGCCATCCTACACGACGACGACGACGATGATGATGATTATAGGTGGCTGTTCCCTTTTAATCGGGTGGTCACAGATAGTGGGACCTAGCCGGTAAGAAAAAAAAAAAAAAGAAGAAGGCGAGAGATAGAAAGTCTCGGAAGAGACAGTGGGACACACACTTGCACATATTTTTTTTTTTGCACTATATAAGTGTCGTGTTTTTTTTTTTTTTTGCAAACTTGATATCGGCATTTCAAATCAAAATTAAGTTACAAAAGTTTTGTAGGAATGACGCAATGCTGAAAGTATAGGGCAAATTCACCTTATAATCGGCCAATTCCCTCCTTTGGGTACGAGCCATTTGCACAGGGAAACAACAACAAGTGTCGTGTCTGTCCTGTCAGTCCCTATCGCATCGTAGCCTTCCACCGCATTTGTAGACGAGCCTTTGTTGTCGCCACAGCAGTGGCGTCGTTGGCGTCATGATCTTCTGCTGCAAATCCAAGCGCTTGAGGTAGAGTAGTGCCTTCTGCTGCCCGTGGAGAAAGATTGGGCGCAATCCAGAATCACGTGTTCAGCCATCTCGTTCGTTTCGGAGCAGCAGCGACAGATAGCAGCTTGAACCTGTGGGTCCTGATCGAAACGACGAGCGTACGCAACGATACGTGAGCGTACGCAACGCTCCTCCACGTGCCTCAAACAGCAGAGCACTGCCTACGCTGTTGTCATAGAGTTTTTCCCTGCCTAGTTCAGCCTTGTATTTGCATGCCATACATCCTTAGGGTAGACTTACGCAGCACTCCTGATCGCCATCGGGCGATTTCTACCTCTCGGACTTGAGTGCGCACCGAACGTGGTGTGAGGCCTTCGTGTGAGCCACTGTCTGTTTCGCCGAAGAAGCCGAATTTCCCACGCAGCCGGTGAACTCTATTCGACCACTGGGTCCGAATACCCTTGAGAGAGAAGTACCGGAAAATGCGCCTGGCCCACCGCGAGTTGCTCATACACCGGAGGCGGGCCTCAAACGCTTTTTTTGCTGCACGCCTCCCTGGCTTCGAATGATGACCAGCCGATGTCTCCCTGGACTGCCTCCGTGGCCACCCTTCCATGACAGCCGAGGGCCATGCGGCCCACCTCTTTCTACGCACCCTCAAGCCATTCGCGGGTGCTCGTCGGTAGGCACATGACAGCGTTTGCGAAAGTCAGGCAAGGCACATGTACCGCCTTCCATAACTCGCGTACAATTACATACCGGTTGAAACCCCACAGGCAGCACTCCCGTAGGGTGCCGATCGCTCGTTGTTGTTGTTGTTAGTGGTTCATGAGGAAAAGGAAGAAGGCACCTAATTTCTGTCTGCCTACAGGCGACACGGCGCAGTGCCTTTGGGGTGGGGTAGAGGGGGATGAAAGAGGATAGGAGAAATAGTGTGTGGTGTGTAGGAGGGATGTCCGGTCCGCTTCAGCGCAGGCAGCAGGCCGTCGGCAAGGGCAAGGGCATCAGGGCTCCTGGGGTCAGCGGTAGGCAGCAATTCCTGACTCCTCCACAAACTCCGCCAGGCTGCGGACTGCTGCTGGATGTGGATGAGACGGGAACAGCAGGTTTTCCAGGGTGGAGACGGGCAGACCCTGTATCCTGTAGGCCGCGTAGGCCCTCAAGCGTTCCTGTGCTAAGCCAGGGCAGGCACAGAGGAGGTGTTCGATGGTCTCTGGGTCTCCGCAACGACTGCAGGCCGGGGAGGGGCAGAGTCCCTTGGCGTGGCGGCGGGCCGCCGTCCACACGCAGCCAGTCCGCAGTCGCAACAGGGAGGCCCGTTCTCTCCTGGTGAGGCCCGTCTCTGGGAGAGGCTTTGGTCCTCGCCCGCTGGCCACCCTCGGGTCTGGGTGGACTGTGATGAGGAGCCTCTTGAGACGGGCCTGTGAATAGTCCCTGGCCGCCACGGCGCAGGAGTAGGGAGTACCAGGCTGGTGGGCAGCCTTGGCGAGGGTGTCCGCCTTCTCGTTTCCAGCGATGCCCACGTGGGAGGGCAGCCAGTGGAAGGAGACGGACACCCCGGCGTCGGTGAGGGCGCGAACCTTGGCTCTCAGGAGGCAGGCCGTCAGTCCGGCACGGCGGGAGTTGGCCAGGGTCTGCAGGGCCGCCTTGCTGTCGCATAGAACCGCGGCCGGCTGAAGGGGGATGTCCTCAGCCAGCAGGTCTACTGCGAGATGCAGTCCAGCCAGTTCCGCAGCCGTGGAGCTCGCCGGGAAGAGAAGCCTGCACTGCCGGCTGTTGGTTCTGGACGGGATTACGCATGCGGCCGCTGCGGTCCCGTCTGGCATCACAGATCCGTCCGTGAACACCTGCAGCCGTCCCTCCAGTTGTTCCTGGAGCTTCCTCGCTCGTTGTCACGACTGCCTCATCTTGGCCTCGTGGACGTCGTAACACTCTCTATCACAAAGTGTCACCCTGAGGTATCGGTACTCACCTTATGCAAAATTGCTGCCATCTGTCGAAGGTTTGGCGAAGCTACCGGTTCAGCGCCATGTTGGAACCTTGTGTCCGAATCGTATTGCTGTCGGTTGCTTGATTTTTGTATCTGCTTTGAGAGCGTGCGATCTGGGCACAAAAACGCCAGATTGGTGTGCAAAAATTTGTAGACGTCACCTGCATTTTCTAGTTATATGTTGACAATGATTACGGATTAATAATTGTGCCACAGTGATATGAAAGTACAAGTTTGTCACCGAGTCACATATGTAATACTGTCGTCGTTAAGAATGAATCCGTGCGCTAGGTTATGAATTTGGTCTCTCTGTTTCAAGTGTAGAGAATAAAGAGTTGGTAGCCATTTGAATATCAATAATGTATATATAGTGTATACATGATAGTTGGCTTTAGCACACGGCATGGCGAGGCACAGCAGTGACGGCAAAAGGGCTGATACATTTCAAAGCGTGTTCCACAAGGGAGAGTCTACGTCAACCTGATTTATAGAGCATTTATTAAGTAATTTGGTCCTTTTTTATATTTTCCAAACAAAAGATATGCAAACTTGAAACAGTAACTGTATACTGTTCGTACATTAAAACTTCTGTGATACCTATGGATCACAAAGCACGCTGGAGAGTATTTCGATAACTGGGCCCGCAATGAAACACTCAATGCTTCGTACTTGCGGTATATGGGCGCACGAATAAAATTTGAAACGAGCTCCCAGACGTTGCCGTTTTCTGTCCATGGTGAAGAGGTGGCAACTATCGTTAGGAACGTCCAACCTGTAACCCGTTTTGATACAGGCGGATATGGTTTACGAGCGTTGTGGTTCCCAAGTAATGAAGTCCAACGTATACAAAGAAGTGTGCACTCGTGGTTTGAGGGCGAGTCTCTTGTGGTTTATCAAATCCATTCGTAATTGCAGTCGATATCAATCACGCCTGTTTCCGCCCCTCGATATAATTATTTATACATCTCGCCTCTTCCAGGAAAACCATGTGATACGAGAGAACAAAAGAACACAGGGGCCAGGCAGATTAAGTGCGCTCCATGGCACGGCGCCTATCCGTTCTGCGATTGAGAAGAAAGAGCGCCTATCACTCGCTCGCGTATGGTCGGGTCTCTTCTCCAGATAGAGATAGTAGCGTTGGAGAGAAAGGAGGGAGATAGGCCGCTGAGAGACTTGTGCGCAAAAGTCCGGAAGGTGTCTCGCACTCAGACTTTCGAGCTGCAGCTGGCCTGATTCCGTGTGGTAGACGTTCCCGACCGTAGAACACCATGGCCGCAGCGTCTTTGCTGCGCTGTCTAGCGCTTGTCGCTTTCGTAGCCTCCTGCTGTGTGGCGCGCACACCGTTGATGCATCGTGGACGACCGCGGGGCCGCTTCGGCATGCTGGGCGAGCCCCGTAGCCAGCTGCGTCTGGCCCTCAAAGAACCGAAGGAGCTCTGGATCACCCAGCCCCGCTGCCATTTCAACCCAGCCGCCACAGAAGGCTTCTGGAAGCAGGTGAGGGCTGCAACGTGCGGTACCGATCAGTGTCTCCCTTCATTGGAGGGGTGCCCTTACGGAACAGTAACACACAACACACACACACACACACACACACACGCACACACACACACACACACACACACACACACACACACACACACACACACACACACACACACACACACACACACACGCACGCACACACACGCGCGCACGCACACGCACGCACACACACACACACACACACACACACACACACACACACACACACACACACACACACACACACACAATTCGAACTGGGAGCCCCTTCTTTTCATTGCTCCTCGTATAAGTCGGCCCACAGTGATCAAAATATGTTGCCAAACCAAACCAAATTTATTAGGGATGCAGAAAACAGCAACAACATTCCTCGGCAGATGACAATTAGGACGCTGCATTGTAGATCTTGGGAAAGCTGCAAACGATATGCTCATGGGGTTGCGACAGAAGAATCGCAAGCGAATGCAGAGTGCCGGTTACTTCTAATTTTGATTTCGTCAACTCTGGCATGTGAATAAAGTGTTCTGTAACATAAATAGCCTCATAGCTATCTTTCCTCATTTAGACTTGCTGTTGACATGAATGCATGTCTGCACTTGTTTTTGGCCTATAAATGACTGACCAATTAGTTTTGTTCGCTGCTCGAGCTCCATGAACTTAATTTACAAAATCACCTGCCGCAAGCGTGTAGTAGTGCCTGATGTGCGATAACGAGTTCATAGGTGGCTTCTTTCGGTTCTGCCCAGGCACTGTGGTGCGATGTCCGTTCATTCTAGCGGACGCCTGCTTATAATCGAACTCCGCTTAATTCGAACAAATTGTAGTCCCCTTCAAGTTCGAACGAACGAGCTTTTACTGCCTTACTCCAAGTTCTTCGAGCACTTATATAATGTCCCGATCTATAACTAACCACTTTAAAACAGGAATTTTCAAAAGGCCTTTATTTAAATAACTGGAAATATGGTAAGAGTTAGAGATATGCGAGCTCGAAGGAAATGACCAAGCTGCAACGCAGATTATTAATTTATCCGCTGCATTGAGAGCCACAGGCCCGACAATGCTATGTGTCATTTCCACCCCCTTACATAAATAAGTAGGCAAAATGCATGCGTCTTGGGTATTGCACCAGACTCTCAGTGCGTTATTTAACGAATGAAAACTGGCTGGTATACGTAGAGAGACCTACGTGAACTTTATGTCTAATTCACGAGCATGCAGCTGCCTCGTGAAACAGTATGTTGTGCCAACCAGCTTTGGCGAACAGGGCCGTGGCCCTGTCACGTGCACCGTGTCGAGCAAATGCGTGCATCGCATTTATGGCGGTATGATGATAGCTGTCTTCCTGTTTTGGTCGCGCGACATCGACCTAACCATCGCGATTAAATCATTATTAATAATATTGGAGAGTTATTATTTCCCCGCATGGGGCAACGCTACCAGAAATTTAAAAAGAAAATCAGCACCAGCGCTTCTCCAATAGATGTTGTGATGCAATCAGCCATCTGCGAGAGGGGTCGGAGGCCAAGCCTTTCCTTTAAAAATGTGAAAGGGGCTGCTACCCCCCTCCCCCACCCTCATTTTCAAGCCTTGGTACAGATACTTCAAAAGACCGTATACATGTTTACCGATGTGCAACACCGTCAGATGTGGCAAATACAGTGGTCTTCACGTTCCGCAGCACGTATGTTATGGAAGCGCGCGGCAATGCCTGCTACGTATGTATAATGGCATATCATGAAGGAAGAGTATATATATTTAATTTTCGAATTTAGCTTGAGCGACCGCTGGACTCTTTTTTTTTAATATTATGAATGCATGACTTGATCTGTCCCCGGGTGACCTACCAAAAAGGAGATTGGCCTTTTGAACGCAATAGTGATATCCTGTCTCTATGTAGTGTCCACTTCAACAACTTAGTGTACAATTTTTATTGAGTTACTCGAGAAGCTCACATTGCGGATTACTATAATGTAATCGATAATGTTGAAAGTGACTTGCGCCAGTGAAGCTTTCGCATATGACTGCAGTATGCGTAATGGTTAGCATGCTTTAAAGAATGAGCATTTGTGCTGTTGTTGTTGTTGTTGTTCTCCTATTGTTAGTGGCGCATACCCACTGTGGGGGATTGGCCAAGAATCGAGTGGCTTTAAAATTTACTGTTCAGATTTGGAATGATGGAGGTTTAACAGAGAGATTACCGATAGCCTAGGAAAGTGTGGTGCTTAATGTAATGCATACAAATATTTACATAAACGAATTTATTCTTAGAATAGAGCAATAACCTGATTTTATACGTATATAATTATGTGTACCTGTTAGGACAATGAAATTGGTTAATAAGTCAACCTATTAGTTTCATCAATATAGTCCCGGACGGCCACGCATACTGTCGCATTAGAGAAACCAGAAATGGAAGCTCCAAAAGACAAAATGACAGGCAGAGATAAGTCCATACCAATACCACGTAAAGGTATTTCCAATAGGGTTTTCGTAATGTGTTAAACCGCCTGCAGGTCAAAAAGAAATGGTCTATGGTTTCCAGTTCATCACAGAATGCACACAGTGGCGAAGGTGCCTGAGCAGACCTGTGTTTATAGAAATTTAGATTTGGTACCCGGCAACGCAGCCTTGTGATAGCTACTTCTTGTTTTCGAGTGCGGCAAAAGTCTCTTCGCCAGGGATATAATAGATGGCGATATTCTGTAGAGTTTGTTAGTGCTGAACCTTTAAAGACTTGCATAAGCGTACGTCTGCGGAATCGAGCAGCAGTCACATAAGCGGATGATGGATAGAGCGGTAGAATTGGTTCGCTGATTGACGACTTAGCTAAGGAATTGGCTATTTCATTTAGAAGCAAACCTTTATGTCCAGGCACCAAAACTAATCGTACTTTTCTCAAATGCGCAGGTACTAGAGCACGGAACGCCTTTGTTACTTGATTATCAGCACCAACAGAAAGTGCCGCACAGAGAGATAGGGAATCTGTTATTATGACAGGTTATGTAATTGCTGTATCTAACTTGCGTAAGGCGAGCACCACTGCCAGAAACTCAGCCACAAAAACGGGTATGAAATCGGGTAGTCGAAGGGAATAAATCCAATTTAAAATCGGGCTGAAAATACCAACCCCTGACTTTTCGTCGTATTGCGATGCGTCTAATAATAACGTTCGTTGTAATACGGCGCAGGTGATCTTGTAGTAAACCATCCAAAATATTATGGGGAAGTAATTTGGCATTATTAGGGAAAATGTCGTCGAATTGAATTTCCACCGGGGCTAAATTATCACGACTTGGCATGATGTCGCATATACGTACGTTTAGAGGCTCCAGTAAATTTTGCACAAATATAATTTGTGGCGTGTGAAATCGCGGCCATCTAGCAGCAAAAAATGATTCCGAGGTGGAAATAAAGGCTGTTTCTGAATGTCGGAATGGTGATTCATAAATTCTTAAGAATGTCTGAACAGTCAGAAGGCGAAATCTACAAGAAAGCGGAAGGACCCTCGATTCGAGATACAACACATTGTTGGCAACTGTTTTGGGAAGGCCAAGGCATAAGCGCAAAGCTTCTTTTTCCAGAAGAATTAGAGGCCGCAACTTGTAAGCTGGAACTCTAGAGAAAAGTACACAACCAAATTCCAAAATGGGACGAACGTACATGCGATATATCATTACCAATGTGTCTCTTCTCATACCTATGCGGTAGTTGCTTAGCCTACGTAATATGCCAATGGCCCGCACTCCTTTTCCGGCGATATATTCGATATGAGGTCGCCAGTTAAGCGATGTGTGATAAATTACTCCAAGGTATTTAACAGATTCCACCTGTGGTATGTCCTCATGATGGTAAGACAGAGAGATGTTCACAGGGTATTGCAGCGGGAAAACAAGGAGGGCACATTTACTCGGATTAAGTAAAAAGCTGTTGCCATCAAGCCAGCTCTCCAATATATTAAGGTAAGTCTGCAGCCGTTCATATAAGGTCTCAATGTTATCTGCCATTGCAAAAAATGCGATATAGTCTGCATAAACATAAGTTGTTATATCCTGTTTACGTGGAATGGTGCCCATTAGTTAATTAAATAGCACCGGGGAAAGCACCGAGCCTTGCGGTACTCCTCTCGTTTGGGTATGAGTAGATGATGAAAACAGATCTTTAAAACAATAAAATTTTCTGTCTGCAAGAAAATTGTGAACCCACGCTACTATGTATGATCGAAAATCAAGGTATTCTAATCGATCTATCAAAATACAGTGCTCCACGGTATCATATGCTTTAGCGATGTCTAAGGCAACTAAAGCTGCATATTTTTTATCCAGCCGAGCTAATTGAAGCCGACTCTCTAAATCAACGTGGGCATCCCAAATTGAACAACCAGCCCTGAACCCAATTTGACAGGGACTTAGAATTGACCTCATGGTAATAAGTTCATTAATTCGTATATTGATGATTCTCTCAACCAATTTCACTGAGTTTGATGTCAGTGGGATCGGTCTTATGTTATCCAACGTGTATGCATTATTTTCATTTTTTAGCAACAATACAATTTTGGCAAGTTTTCATTCTGGAGGTATCCATGCGTTCCCTAACGAATAATTCACTAGTTCTAGCAAAAGATTAGGCGATTCCTGGAGTAAACATTTCAACATAGAGTTCGTAATCCCATCTGGTCCGGGAGCCGTCCTCGGTAAGCATAATACTGTCTGACTCAATTCAGCTAAAGAAACTTCTGGAAATTCATGCACCAGAACGGACATTTATGCGCGTGAAATGTTTTCGAACTTGCTATAGATGCTCACCCATGCACTACGCGAGAATACGCGCCGTCAAGTGTGTTTCCTTTTGTGATGGTTGGCCGGCTTTAAACCACGAAAGCGTAATGACATTCACATCTCCTGACGCCTGCTGATGACAGTGTACGCTTGTACGACGCAACATTTGCGATATGGCATGTTTTATTGGGAGAGAGGTTTATTATCAGAGAAAAGCTTAGACTTCGGCCTGAATCAATTTTCTGACCTGCTACTCATGCAGCGTAGCCAAGGAAAGAGGGTGCTAACGAAATTTGAGAGAAGGTGTTGATGATGAGGAGGATGAAAGTGATGATGTATCAAAACTTTGAATGCCCAAAAGTTATTTACAGTCTCTTTTCGAGTTCTGCATCTCGCAAACACTTGTTCAGAGCTTTGAAAACATTGCGCTGATGACGATGTTTCGGTCCCAAACAAACTCTTTCCGATACTTGTTGCTCGACAATATTCAATAAAAAGGTGGCCATCGATTTTCTTTGTTTGCTGTATCGAGGGCAGGCGCACAAGAGGTGTTCAGTGGTCTCTGGAGTGCCACATACCTCGCAATTCGGACTGTTTGCACGGCCGATGAGGTGAAGGTAGCGACGAGTTAATGCCACACCTATAGACGCAGGCTGTGCAATTCTATAGCTTGAACTGCACGTTTCCATGGTCTTGTTGTATTTTGATTCGGGACGTTAATGTAAACAAAACGCGTGTGTTTGTAAAAGAAGTTATTTTCACTGCATTTTCAGGCAGAGGAAGTTATTTTCTTCACTGCGTTTTTAAGCAGTTCATTTTAACGCACATTTTAATATATACCATATTAAAAATAAAGGACGCATGGCTGTGTTCTAGAGCACTTGCTTGCCACGCGAACCGCCTGGGTTGGATCCTCATTCGGACTTGGAAATGTTTATTATTTATTTTATTTTCATTTTTCTAGATTTTTCGGTCGTGAACAAGATTATGATTTTTTTTTCCTGCTCACAACCAAAGACACTCATGCTGGTGCCGACACTGACGCTGGAGTTTCGACGAAACGAACTTTTTTATTGCGTTAAAATAATGTAGTGAGCTATGGCTGAACTATTAGAAGTAGCTAATAAATCAAAACAGCTTAGCTGCTTCACAAAAGCACCTTTCCAGAAGTGCACGGCTCCACAAAAGCGCTTTTCTGTGATGACATGAACAGAAATCAGCTCTCAACAGTGTGAATTGACGCTTACTACATTTTGCACGTGAGCGAATGCACGCTGGTGAGACGAGGCAATGAATACGGAATGGAAAGACAAGACGCTATCGATGAACGTCAATGCCAGAAATTTGACAATCGCGTATACAGTCGGCGCCAAAAATTCAGAAATCGCTGTCTTACAAAAGTTTGATATTTCCAGCTGTTTTTAGAATATGCAGTCCAACTGTGAAGTACATGTCAGCGTATTTTCAAACAGCCAGAAAATGTAAACTCAAAGCTGCCACAAAGTTTTTTTTTTAGTTTTTCAACCATATTACTTTTTTTTGTGAGTGCCACGTGATTGAATTACTACTGACGCTGACGGGCAAGTACGCTAATTACCGAACGCAAATGACGGATATATACTCATGCATGTATGTACCTATAGGCATATCTATTGTAATCTGGTGAGTGCACACATGACACCAGATTTTAATGCACGATCTACTTAATCTAGAGCAGATGTCCGTTACGAAATTTGAAGACTGTCCTATATATGCAGCCATCCTAGGAACAGTCATAAAATAACTGTGCTTGACGCGCAGCGGTACTTTGTGAGTGACGAGTTCTACCGTCCCGGAGGCCCAGTGTTCCTGCTGTTCGGCGGCGAAGGCACGGCATCGGCCAAGTGGCTCACGGCGCCCACGCACATCATGCTTCTCGCCAAGAAGTACGGCGCGCTCGTCTTTCAGCTCGAGCACCGCTACTACGGACTCAGCTGGCCCACACCGTGAGCAGCTTTCTTCACCTATGCGTCCATAGAACTGTTTTTCCAGGGGTGGCGCCAGGATTTCTTTACTTCAGGGGTGCATTTAGGACGCGTGGGTTCCTTCGGAGGTGCTGGGAACTCTGGTGTTGTGCTTTTGGGATGCGAAAACGAAGCTGCACCCTCCCACCCACTCTACGCTTTCACTGGCGCCATCCCTGCCTTCTTCAGTGGCCGTTCTTTACGTATATTATATACATATAGTGCCAGTATACCCGCTGGGCTCCAAAGAAAAAATAACAAACTTACATATACCGAAATGTATAAAACTAACGGTGGTGAGCCATTTTTGGCTGGTTTCCCTCTCATTTAACAGACCTTGATTGAACAGAATCATTTTTTTGGAGGGCCTTTTAAGTGGATGGCCATAATTTTATCGACGGAATACTATACATTACACTCTAAGTATTTAAAAAATGTGCCATTTGACTCTTCTATGCTACAGATGTTACTCTCACACGTATAACTCTTTTGAGATAGCTGCGTTGACCTTCTTTAGGAGAGTCGAGGGATGCGCATGTTTCCGTAAGAGAGTTAGCTCTCTTTCCTCTCACAGAGAAATATGGTCAACGTGAGTGACCGTGACTCGCGTTGTCTCTATTTATCTGTGAGAGGAACGCACGACTTCCCAGTAGGAAGTGAACTCTTTTTCCTCTCGCATGTATAACTCTCTTTAGAGAGTCACCTTGAATCTATTTATGAGGGCCGAGGGTAGGTAGGTAATAAACTTTATTTAAAATTCAACAAGAAATAACTGGCCCGGGCTAGGCCTCCAGGAGCCATCGTCCGCGGAACATCGTGCGATGTCCTCGGAAATAGCCCTGTCTCGCTGGACAGCCCAGGTTTAGTCCACTGCACGTGGGCTGAGAAGGGCGGCTCGCCACCGCCCAGCCAGTCGTCTTGGGGTACACTCTCGCTCGTCCGAGTAGTGGCGTCGAACAAGAGTCAAGGTGACTCTCTGAAGAGAGCTATACCCATGAGAGGTAACAAAAAAGAGTCAGAGGACACCTTTTCTTCAAGAGTGCACGGGCCAGTGCGAGTTGTTTCGAACCATGGTGATAAAGAGGTTTAGTTGAATGTAGGAAGTGATATATTTTGCGCACGATGTCAGGGAATCATTTTACGCGAAAAATTAGCAAGGTGCACTATTAACACAAGCGACAGCCTATTAAGTGTGAATACACCTTATAAGCGACCCCAAACCATCCACCGCCGTCGGCGGCGTCCGCAGTCTTCTCTCTATCTTTAAAAGAAAGAGGACTTGGCGGGCCGCAGCGCGACGCTCTACCGAATAAGCCACGGACACGACGCTGATATCGGTGCTTATATCTTTAACGCCGCTGCGCGCGTCCCCCTCCCCCTTCGCTCGCTCCTCCGCTCTCCTCGCTCGCTGCAGCTGCGCGCGCACCCCTGAGGGAGAGTAAAGTTAAAATCCGTTGGCATTCGCCAGTGAGTTAACGTAAACTCCCCCGTGTGATCAAATTGAGATTCCCAGGAACCATTACACCATAAAGGCACCATAGTGTGATTAATAAATATAATAGCGCGAATCAATAAATACCCCTCATAGCATCACCCCATGCATTCGCACTTAACCATGTTCACCCTCGGGGAAATGCTTGGGAGTTTTTTTTTTTTTTTGGACGTTTCAATCGGAGTTCGCGGGTCTTCGTGAATAGACCTGAAGACAGGACTCCGGTCGAAACGTCGAATTTACCTTTCTTGCTTTTGTTGCTGTTACCGAGGGTCTATATTTGCGCTAGCATATATGGGGGACACATTATTATATAAATTTAGGGATCTTTCTTTTTTTGCAAGCTATGTGCGTGATGATACAAACGAACGAAAATTAAAAAAAAAGAAACGGCGCGTGGATAACTGCAGCTCAGGGAGACAATGGACACTCGAGCCGTTACGTGCCGGAGCGATCGTGTCTCCTCACGCTTTACCTGAATTGTCGTCGAGTGCGCTCGCTGTCACATGACACGCCTGACTTGGAACAATGAGCGGCGCCAGTATCTGTACACCCACTTCCAGCACTGTTCGAGGTAGTACGTACGTGAGCTCTGCGCGGCAGTCTGCTCGTGTTGTCGCCGGCTTATCTGTGCTGACGGGAGGCGTCGCCGAGCTCAGCGAAGGTAGTCTACTTATGGCGAAAGCAAGATTTTGTGTCGCTAGCACTTGCGTTTCTGTTTAGAGAATCCTCTCGAAAAAAAGTCGGGGCAGACTGACCAAGAACAAAAAAAAAAACGCAGCACACACCGTGTCTCGAAGCAACGTTATTTTGCACGTAGAATGTAATTATTGGATACACTTGCGTACTGAATACAGCGTATCAATTAACATGATCTAAGAGCTGATTCGTTATCAATATTGTACGAGATAGGGGATGAGTAAATTGTTATCGTGATTTTACGTAGCTAGACAATGCTTTCACTGCACTTGCTTTGTTTCTGTTAGCACACACCCACGCACACACACATAAGAAAATTAAGACAGGCTATAGAAGTTTTGGGGCAACAATATACACTGTCGGCAATTTGACTACTTTGATGAGGCGTATCGCACCACGTACGTACCCTAATTATAACGTTAACTCCAAGTGGATTTGACTATCCCGGCTGCGGCTGCTGCATATTCGATGGAGGCGGAAAGGTTGTAGGCCCGTGTGCTCAGATTTGGGTGCACGTTAAAGAACCCCAGGTGGTCGAAATTTCCGGAGCCCTCAACTACGGCGTCTCTCATAATCATGTGGTAGTTTTGGGACGTTAAACCACACATATCAATCAATCAATCAATCAATCAATCAAGTGGATTTGACTAAGTACAGAAGAATGAACGTGCCAAGGTGTAGAAATAGTATAAAGGAATGGTTACACCCTGAAACATGATGCGAGCACGCCTTTTATCTTCAAATATATTCGTACCGATAACGCATGCGGCTGAACAACCAAGTGAATACTATGCACACACCTCTTCAGTACAGCTTGTATATGTATATAGCCCACCAAGTAATCTTTACCTGATTACACATTACCAAGTGAGTGACAACGAAACAGCAACCTTGCTGCAGATTGCAATACAGATATTTCTTCAGCGAAGCTGTTTCTTATTTCCGTCTTTCATGCAACGCTCACATGCTTACGATGGCACGTCCATGGTTGTCACTGACTCTGGTGTCATTCAAGCTCGGCAACTTGCCGCTGCCGAAAGGGTTGGAGGCCGCGCGGCCTTTAGCTCAGTTTCTCGGCCGCAACGCCACTCACACCGGCGCACGTTAGCGCTCGTTAGCGCTCGTTAGCGCTCATTACTCCCTCCCCCTTCCCGAATTTATCCCCAACTTAACCTCCCCCTCTCCCCAACGACGGAGGAACTAGCTGCCTCCTTTTCGGTTGACCTAATTTCTACGAATGCATGCCATTCGTTATCTTTCTATCACCCCCCCCCCCTTCAAGAGCGCGCGTCTCGCTGTAAATTGATGATTGATGTGTGAGTGTTAACGTCCTAAAACCACCATATTGCCACCAACACAGCGTGGCATTACGCTCTCCCCGAAGAAAAAAAAAGCATCCCATGAGTGCTGCAGCCCCGAAAAAGAAAGAAAGGTAGTCAAAAATGTCTGTGTCCATTAAAAATAAAAAGTACGAGATGAAAAATAAAAAAAAGCAAGAAAGAAATGTACAATTGTCTTGAAGGCTATTGCCACATCACAAAGTGATGCGAATCACAAAGTCAACGCGAATAGTAAGGCTTCATCCTGGAGACGTGAACCACATCTGAGGAGCGTGGTCTACGAGAACGGTGTGACGTGTCTTCTGGGACAACTTCGTATATATAGTTCCCTTCGCCGAGGTGATGAAGAACTCGGTAGGGTCCAAAGTACCGACATAACAATTTTTCTAACCGTCCACGTTGACGTATAGGAGTCCAAACCCAGACTAGGTCACCGGGTTCGTATATTACTGCACTGTGGTGGGTGTTGTACCGGCAAGCATCTTTATTTTGCCGTGAAAGCGCGCCAGCTGCCGGGCGTCTTCGGCACGCTGAACAAATACAACTGCGTCCGGAGTAATCGTGCCCAGCAGAGTTGGTTGCAGCATGGTGTCAATCATTGTGGTGACGTCGTGGCCGTAAACTAGGCGAAAAGGAGCAAAGCCGGTGGTTTCCTGCAGAGCCGAATTGTGGGCAAAATACCGGAGGATTTCATCCCAATTCTTCTGATCCTTGGCGACATACATCGAAAGCATATCTGCAATCGTTTTGTTAAGGCGTTCGGTTAACCCGTTAGTCTGCGGGTGGCACGCAGTTGCTGTTTTGTGCATCGTGCCGCTCAGCAACAGGATCTGTCGGAGCAACTGTGCCGTAAAAGCATCACGATCTGTGATGACGACCGTTGGGAGCACCGTGGCGGAGAACGATGTTCTTGATGAAGAAGTCAGCCACCCCGGAAGCAGTTGATCGCTGGGCGGCTTGTGTTTCGCAAAATCTGGTCAAGTAGTCGGTGACCAGCCGTAGACTTCGGAAATGGGCCGAGTAAATTCATCCCGACCTTTTCAAAAGGTGCGTGAGGGGGTCGCAAAGGCTGAAGCAGACCGGCTGGTTTCGTCGTTGGATTTTTGCGGCGCTGACAGGCTGTGCATGTCTTGACGTAATGCCGTACGGTTTTCGTAAGTTTCCGCCAGCACTATTTGTCCTTGATCCCGGCCAGAGTACGCGCGAAGCCAAGATGCTCTGACGATGGCTCGTCGTGACAAGCACGCAAAATATCATTGCTGAGAGCAGCAGGAACGACGAGGAGGTAAACAGCTTTCGTTGGATGAAAGTTGCGCTTGTAGAGCATGTCTTGGCGTAGACAGAAAGATGGCAAATCACGCGCGAACTGACGGGGGGGTTGTGGGGGACGTCCCTCAAGGTGTTCAATCAGTGGTTGTAATTCCAAGTCTTCGCGTTGCTGCTCGGCCACGTTTAAGGATGCGAGAATAGCAAGGCGGCTGAAGTCTTCATCCTTGTCCTCTGCAGTGACTTCGACGGGTGCGCGGGAAAGACAGTCAGCGTCAGTGTGTTTCTGGTCAGACTTGTAAACAATCGTTATATCGAATTCCTGTAACCGAAGGCTCCATCTTGCAAGACGGCCCGAAGGATCTCTCAGATTCGCTAGTCAGCAGAGAGAGTGGTGGTCACTGACGATTCGGAAGGAGCGTCCGTAAAAGTAGGGCCTGAATTTCGTTATGGCCCATACAACTGCCAGACATGATTATGAGAGACGCCGTAGTGGAGGGCTCCGGAAATTTCTACCACCTGGGGTTCTTTAACGTGCACCCAAATCTGAGCACACTGGCCTACAACATTTCCGCCTTTATCGGAAATGCAGCCGCCGCAGCCGGGATTCGATACCGCGACGGTCTCGCTGTAAAGAGTTGAAGGACACTGTAAGTTCTGACGCTTGTTCAGCGAAAGCCTGCGGCCATTCGAATATGCTTATGTCTTTTTTTTTCCTTTTTTATACGCTCACAAAAATCACGTGATTCAGGAGAGATTGCACGAAGGAGAGAGGCCACAGCTATGGTGGTGCAACTGTTGATATACGCCACTGTGCCATCACGTGATTGCTGAGAGAGTGTGAGGGGGAGAGGCCACAATGCCACCTTACAGGGCACGGACGGAAGGACGCGAGTATGAAACATTAATGGTTTTGGCCTTAAAGTCCACCCCCCGTCCGCGGCGAGAATAGCTGCCTCATAGACATCGTTGATATAGTACATGACACACACAACAGTCGTTCGTGTCAGGTTCTTGGCGTGGTCTCTCTTCTGGTGCAGTTATATAAAAGCAATCTACAGTGAACAGCATGATGTTACCCAACCAGCAACAAGTGCTTTCTTCAACGGATATACAAGCTCTGCCTCTCGCACGTGCAGGGACATGACGGTGGCGAATCTGGAGTATCTGACCAGCGAGCAGGCGTTGGCCGACGGAGCGTTCTTCAGGGACGCCATGGTGGAGAAGTACTCTCTGGGCCCCGACAGCAAGTGGGTGGTGTTCGGTGGCTCGTACTCGGGCTCGTTGGCTGCCTGGTTCAAGCTCAAGTACCCGCACCTCGCCGTAGGAGCAGTTGCGTCGAGCGCGCCGCTATATGCCGTAATCGACTTCAAAGGTATGCACCTATAAATAGTGGATTTTGTTGTTTGCTTTTATAAATAGGGAGGGTAAGAATATAATATTCTTAACCTCTTGTAACCTGCAGTTTTTTGCCTAAAAATGAACGCTTCAATTTCAGTTCAGATGCTAACATGTTAGCTAAGAAATCCAAGATTACATAATTTCATAAGACCAGCTGAGATCGGTGCATTAGATTAAAAAAAACTAGTGGGGCTTCTAGCACAAAAAGATGTATTTTATGTTTAAATGTATTTATATGTCTAAAAGCAAACAAGCTCATGCTGAGCAGGTGAATTAGTTCCTCATTTTATGATAGTCTGCGAAGCATTGAATGCTGTATAGATAGTATAGTCTTGACTTATGCACCTGAACGGTACAGCCGTACGACTGTATTTGTTCAGGTGCATAAATCAATGTCCACCATCTATATACGCGTTCACGCTCTTTGGTATAGCACCATGCGTTATATGTTTGTTTGTTTTTCTTTCCCCGGGTCAGAAACGGGGACATTAAGGCGCTCTGCCAAATGGTCTCACATGCCGCTCTAATTACAATTTTTCTCTCCTGGACGACCCGACCCGTTCAGTTTCACGAATTCAGATTCGATAAGCCACAAAATCGCGACAACAGAGAGGAGGTTAAGGAGGGAAAGAATGGAGAGATTTGTGTCTGTTAACAGGTGCCCAAAATTTATGTTCGAGATTTTCTTGACAACTCTCAGAACGAAATGGAATGATTACATGGCGGTCTCCTTTTAAAATGCTTAATTTGCGTAAACAGAATAACTCGCCGGAACGGACAATTGCAACAAGAGGAACGCTTAGAGGTGCATCACTTTCGTCACGGGGCGCAGATTACCTTCGCGTAGTGAGGGACTCGCTGGCAACCACGGGCCCTGAGTGCAACAAGCAGATCGAGCAGGCGGTGGACCACCTCACCTTCCTGGCTGCCTCGCCCGACAACTGGCCGGCCATCAAGGACATGTTCAAGTGAGTACTAGATAATACCGGCAAATTTCATGTTATGCGCAGAGCTCCCCAATTGGGGTGTGGACGGGCACAGTTAAGGTGTCTCGGCGTCCGCGCGCTATAGGCAAAGTTTAATTGCAGCGGCACCTTTGCCCCCTCCCCCCCCCTCCCACCGACTTCTCCCGCATTTGTTAAATCAAGAAGACGAGGTTCTTTCCAAGATATAATGAAAAAAAAAACAAGAGAGAAAAGAAATGGAACCGAAGCGATGACGTGCTTCATAGGATTGCTTTCCTTCGGTCACTGGCTTTTCGAGAGTAAAGTTGGGAGGTCTTACGGATGTAACATCAGGGGTTTTCGGCCTTGTCACTATCATACTATCATCAAACGCACGCGTCGCCACAACACTGCTCTTTAAATAAGAACGGGACAAGTCCGAGCTAGGAAAACGTATGGGGCAGACTTCACCACCCTCGCCCTATTTGTACGCTGGTGGTCAGAGCCCTAGTCATACTCAACGACACCGATTCATGGCCAGGTAACTGAAATTATAGTACAGCAGTGTCCTTGATAATTCTTTTGGGAGACGGACGACGTGAGAACGCTGATGGCTCTTCCACCACGGACTACAGGCGCCTGTCTTGAACGACGAATTTAACTGTGACATCCGAGGCACCAAGTGCCTCGGATGTCACAGATAAATGCTCCGCCATCCACGTGCTCTTCTGCCACTCGGCCTTACCCCAGTATTCAGAAACGCTCCTCGACTGGACTTTCACCCTTCACTTGACAGAGTTGAGCGCTGCGCCACGACTCGGCTCAAAATGACACTGCGCTACTTAAGAATTGCAGCAGATTATTTCTTATATGCAGTGACTTGCCGTGCCTAGAGATGGCGCTCCCATCGGCTTTCTCAAGTGAAAGTGAAGTGTTGAGTGAAGGGACGTTCTAGAATACGGGGGTTAGCCTCCCATTGACCCAGCCTCAAATGAACACCGATCCGGCTTAGGTAAAAAGTGAAATCAGTTTACACTGATTTTTCTTTGATAACTTTATCTTCGCAAAACTTGGTACCATGGCTTCATTATTAGAACAAAAAAAAAATGGTGGTTAAAACTTCACGTTTGAATTTCGCGTTCCATCTCGAGCACCTGAATGTCATACCGTCAGTGCACGTGGGTATCGACGCGCCTCTGCGCGTGCTCGCGTTCTGCACGTGCATGTTCAATAAATTTTTTTTAAACTTGCCATAGCAAGTTAGCTTTCTCAGAATACGACGCAGTTCATTTTTATTGATAAAGAATCATTTAGGTGTAAGCAGACGCCCCCAAAATCCACAACGTCACGGAAACTTGGCTCTGAAGCTTCAAAGTGGCGTTGCCACGCTTTATTATTATTATTATTGTTATGCTTGAACGTTTTCCTGTTACCAAGCGTCCTCATATGGAAAGAATGGTGTTTATTGATAGTACTGTTACAATGTACGTTAATAATACAAGCGAGATTCGTTTTCTGTTTAGTGTCCCTTTAACCTGTACTCTTCGTATTGATTGATTGATTTGTGGGGTTTGACATTCCAAAACCACAATATAATTATGAGAGACGCCGTAGTGGAGGGCTCCGGAAATTTCGACCACCTGGGGTTCTTTAACGTGCACTCAAATCTGAGCACACGGGCCTACAACATTTTCGCCTCCATCGGAAATGCAATCACCGCAGCCGGGATTCGATCCTTCGACCTGCAGGTCAGCAGCCGAGTACCTTAGCCAATAGACCACTGCAGCGGGGCACCCTTCGTATTGAAGAGAATGGCAGCTTCTTTTGTGTCTGGGGATAGTTGAAGAAATAGCATGACGACTGAAGTACTCTGCGATGTTGCTTCTTTTAGTAGTATTCTCTTTCTCTTCCATGCGCAGGTTGTGCACATACTTCAACGGTTTCAACGCCAACAACATGGCCAACCTGTTCCAGAGCTTGGCGGGTAACTTCGAAGGCATCGTTCAGTACAACAAGGACGCCAGGGAGTTCGAGGCACGTAAACGCTCGCGTCCTTTACCGTGGGACCATTCCGATGCCGGCCTTTCAGACGCACGTAGACCGCAACTGGGATTCGCGCCGTCCAGTTGTCTTCCTTCACAACGCTTCCTAACACCTTCTTCGATGAATAGTAGTCAGCAGATCGAACTTGTCAGACGGCTAGCGAATTTCAAGCAATCTAACATTGAAGTTTTGCAAAGACTTTACGGTTTTGACGCTAAATTACAAATAAATCAATTTTGTCAACATGAAGAAATTCCAAATGAATCACAAAACTGAATATTTCTGACAGCTGTATAGTTTCCTTTTTCTTCCAGTAGGCCAGGAAACTTAAGTGTGCACCAAGGCTCGAAAACACAAATTCAGCACTTAATATTGAAGAATAGTCTCTGAACTGTACTGGCCAACTTCTAAAGCATGCTACCAAGTCCGTGGCAGTAGCCGAGTCGGTAAGGTGTAGCTTTAAACCGAAAGGGCACTGGTTCGAATTGTGGTACCAGTACTGTTAACATTAAAGAAAGCCGCATGGCAATGTGGGTAATAAGGCGAAAACGCTAAAGGCCGTTATATAATTTTAATCACGATCGACCTACAGTAGTGAGCAGACAGAGTTCTAAATATGGCATCCTGTGCCATGCTGGTAGCCGAGCGCGTACAGTGTTCAGTTCGTAACCAAAAAGTTGGATGTTCGAATTACGGAGCTTGGATTGCTGAAACCAGGAAGTCATTCAGATATGAGTGCCGAAATTCAAATGTACGTGCTGTCACATAATTTGCGAAACTGGACATAAGTAATGCGGAGAACAACATTGCGGGTGGACTTTATAGTAAAGTTATAGCGGGCCTTTTTTTTTGTTTCACAAGAAAAAAGAGTTTTTACAAAAATGGCGGACCCAAAGTGCAGCGTCATCTCTTGTGGTAAGTCACAGTGAAAGCTATGAAAGCAGCCTTTCAGATACTTTTCTAAACACTCTTTGGGTAACTGCTGCAACCACACTGTTGGGCATTTACAACGCCATAAATAATCATATTTTTTGTGTAGTAAGCCATTATTTACTATATGCTCTACTTCAACATTATTTGGAGAAACGTGGTATCCGCCACACACTTGTTAGGAATTTTGTGCATTTTTTATGCCATGGCTGACGACGTTGAAGAATTATGCCTGAAGTGGGTATGCACCGCAGTTGATATGGGATCAAGAACAAGCTTTTGTAATGTGTTGGAGAATCGTGCGGCCTAATCGTTACGCAATTCGCATTGCGTGGCGCCGGGTTCTTTCTTTGCTCTTCTAAAACGCTTTATTACTCATTATCAACGCGATTCCTTTCCCCACCATCAAGCCTGCCTAAGCCAAGTTTAACGTTCAGTTTTGAGCGAAGCGTGACTCAGTGGTAGAATAGTGGGCCGGCAGGCAGCGGACCCGGGTTCGAATTTCGTTGTGTTAATAGTGTTTCTTTTTTCCGATATTGGTTTTTTTTCCAATACTGGTTACGGATACCGGCGGCTGGCAACTACGGCGAATGCGCGCGATCACTGTTTTAATCTCGTAAGAGCTCTCGCTGAAAACGTTGAGGCCCTTGTCATCCATTATAAGGCACAACGTGGGTGCTCCTAATTGAAAACAGCCTCAGACGCTGCTCCGCTGTGGGGTGCTAGTTTCTTACGGTATTTGGGCGGGCGTTTTGAACTGACGCAAAATGATCCTGAATTAACGCTGGTAACACGAAATATATGATGGGTTAGAGCATTCACAATATAATTTCGGCATTGCCAAAGCTACAAATTATGTAAAAAATTTGCAAACAAAGCTTTCGCTTTCAGGGGTCCTTTAACTCAAAACGACGCAGCCAGCATACGTATTTTCCGAGTGAAGTGCTGCTCCCTGGGACGTTTGCTTTACTGCAATACGTGTCAAAAGGCAGTCGAAGAAGTTTAGGCTCTTATCACTCAATATAAGGCTCAACTTTTGTCGGACGTCACAACTCAAAACGATGTACCCGGACAACGCTTCCTCTAGAAAGATGCCTGCGACTTGAGCCGAAGAACTGGTTCCCGGCCCTCTCTTGTTCTCTCCTCCTCCGCTCCCAAAAACAGTGTCGGCGTCGAGAAGCTCGCTGCGACGGCCGCTTTAAATCTCGCAGCCTCCGAGATTAAAGCAATGTCTACTGCCGTCTCTGAGGCAACACAATCGTGCCTCTGGAACGGCGTAACTTCCGAATCTAGCGGACGTCGTAGTGTCGGCTGCGAGCGCTCCTTGCGGATAAAGTACCGAACTACAAAGAACCTCCCGTCAATATTAGAAAGCGTGCGACGTTGCAGGCATCTTTAGGGGAAGAGTAGACCCAGTGTATGTATTTTCCAAGCTAAATGTTCCCTTGTACATTTCCTTTCTTGCAATACATGTCGGAAAGCAGTCGAAAAAGTTGAGGCTCTTATCGTTCATGATAAGGCTCAACTTTTGTCTGACGTCACAACTCAGAACGATGCACACATGCGTATTTTCTTAGCTAAATGTTCTCTGGTACGTTTGTTTTCCTGCAACACATGTCGAAAAGCAGTCAAAAAAGTTTAGGCTCTTATCACTCATGATAAGAATCAACTTTTGCCTAACGTCACAACTCGAAACGATACACCCAGCCAGCGCCTCCTCCAGACAGATGCCTGCGACTTGAGCCGAAGAGCTGCACCCGCGCGGCGGTCTAGTGGCTAAGGTATACACGGCTGCTGACCCGCAGGTCGCAGGATCAAATCCCGGCTGCGGCGGCTGCATTCCGATGGAGGCGGAAATGTTGTAGAACCGTGTGCTCAGATTTGGGTGCACGTTAAAGAACCCCAGGTGGTCAAAATGTCCGGAGCCCTCTACGGCATCTCTCATAATCATATCGTGGTTTTGGGACGTCAAACCCCACAAATCAATCAATCATTGAGCCGAAGAGCTGGTTCCCGGCCCTCTCTTGTTCTCTCCTCCTCCGCTCCCAAAAAGTATTGGCTTCGAGAGCTCACTGCGGCGGCTGCTTTAGATCTCGCAGCCTCTGATTTTTAAAGCAATGTCTACTGTCGTCTCGGAGGCAACACAGTCGTGTTTCTGCAATGGCGTAACTTCCGAATCTAGCGGAAGTTGTCGTGTCGGCTGCGAGCGTTTCTTGCGGAGAAAGCACTGAACTACGAGTGACCTCCCAGCCTCATGGGAAGGCGTGCGATGTCGCAGGCGTCCTTAAAGGAGGCGTTGACCAAGCATACGTAATTTATGAGCTAAATGATCTTGGTACGTATGCTATCTTGCAATACATGTCGAAAAGCAGTCGAAAAAGTTGAGACCCTCATCATTCATGATAAGGCTAAACTTTTTTTTAACGTCACAACTCAAAGCGATGCACCCAGCATACGTATTTTCTTAGCTAAATGTTCCCTGGTACGTTTGCTTTCCTGCAATACATGTCAAAAAGCATTGATTGATTGATTGATTGATTGATTTTGATTGATATGTGGGGTTTAACGTCCCAAAGCTACCATATGATTATGAGAGACGCCCTAGTGGAGGGCTCCGGAAATTTCGACCAGCTGGGGTTCTTTAACGTGCACCCAAATCTGAGTACACGGGCCTACACAATTTCCGCCTCCATCGGAAATGCAGCCGCCGCAGCCAGGATTCGATCCCGCGACCTGCGGGTCAGCAGCCGAGTACCTTAGCCACTAGACCACCACCATGTCGAAAGCAGTCGAAAAAGTTTAGGCTCTTATCACTCATGATAAGGCTCAACTTTTGTCTGACGTCACAACTCGAAACGATACACACATGCGTATTTTCTGAGCTAAATGTTCCTTGGTATGTTTACTTTCCTGCAATACAGGTCCAACAGCAGTCGAAAAAGTTGAAGCTCTTATCAACCATGACAAGGCTCAACTCTTTGTCTGACGTCACAATTCGAAACGGTTCACCCAGACAACGCTTCCTCTAGAAGGATGCCTGTGACTTGAGCCGAAGAGCTGGTTCCCGGCCCTGTCTTGTTCTCTCCTCCTCCGCTCCCAAAAAGCATCGATTTCGAGAGCTCGCTGCGGCGGCTGCTTTCGATCTCGCAGCCTCTGATCTTTAACGCAATGTCTACTGTCGTCCCGGAGGCAACACAGTCGTGTCTCTGCAATGGCTTAACTTCCGAATCTAGCGGAAGTTGTGTCGGCTGCGAGCGCTTCTTGCGGAGAAAGCACTGAACTACGACGAACCAATTTTGACCAATGTGCGACAAAACTTCATAAAATGAAATTTTAAAGCCTCAAACGAATTCGTGTCGGAAATGAAGACGACAGCGGAATTCGAACCAATGACCTTCTGGTTATTAAACAAACAGGCGACTAGGGCTGTGCGCGTTATTTTAGTCCGTAGTTGAAATTAAATGTATCGTTTCCATGCCGGGGCCTCTATAAATACAACGCTTTACCAATTCAGGGAAAGTTCTTTATGTTTCATTGAAGGTCATACGCAGTTATTAGTTTTAAAGAATCCCAGGTGGTCAAAATTTCCGGAGCCCTCCACTACGGCGTCTCTCATAATCATATGGTGGTTTTGGGACGTTAAACCCCACAAATCAATCAATCAATTATCAAGCAGTTATTAGTTTCGAAAGATCTAAAAGGCGAACATCAACCTGACATTGCAAGTTAACTGTCACCACGTTACAGTGTCTGAGAGGTTAAGTGGGCGTTTCTTAACCTGAAGGTCGGTAGTTCGAATCCCGTTGTCTGCCCCTATTTCCAACTGAAATTCGTTAGGTTCAATAAATTTTATCTTATGAAGTTTCGTCCCGCTCCACCATGCGGCAACTTAGCGGATATCGCAACCCCGGACCTCACGATCGCATGCCACCGTATGGTGCAACGTTTCTAGAAGCGAGTTCTAGAAACGTTGGTATGGTGTGGGTCGGCTATTTTTGTGAAACATTTTTTTATTTTTTTTTCAACTAGTATAAAGGAGAAGGCCTACCATAACATCTTCGCCTAAAAGGCCCACCCACAATGTTGTTTTTTGCATTAATTCTCTCCTGTTTCACAAATTACGTGACATCACGTTGATTTGAAATTCGGCAGCAGTGTATCTGTACATGAGCGCCGCAGGGCAGGATTTCAACGCGAGAGCGTCAAAGTGTTTCGCAGAAATTCTGGCGTCGGTGTCGTTGGGTGTGAGCGAAAAATAATCATCTTGTGCGTGACCAAAATTAAAAAAGACCATGGGTTCTAGTGGTGATCGAACTCGGGTCTGCTGCGGGGCAAGCGGATGTTCAACCACACAGCCACGCGTCTGCTTATGAATACCGTGAAAACAACTTCCTCTGCTTGAAAATGCAGTGAAAGTAACTTTAATGCTTTATAAGTGCGCGTGACCTGTATACGTGTTTCGGAATACAACGTAGACAAGACTTCAGTTTTAGTTTAGAACATCTTACACGTGGCAGCCGTTATTGATAGCAGGACGAATTTCGTGGTTTGCTTGGTCGACGTTTTTCGGTATGTCGTCAGTTCGCGACACCCAGCAGCGAGAGGTTAAACAATTTCGAAAAAAAAATTGACAAGATCGAAGATTTCCGACGCCAATACGTTTACGTCTTTCGTCAAGGAGGTTGTGTCAGCTTGGCGGCTATAGCACAACCCGGGCCTCACGGTCCCATGCCGCCATGGTACCTGCCTCCCACCCCCTCCCCCATTTTGTTTGATAAAATGATGTTCGTACTTAAAAAATAATAAAGAAAGTTGCGTGCACTTATGGACCTATTGGGTCCTCCCTTTCTAGTTCACAGTCGTTCTGCCGATTGTTTGCTTCACGGCTCCCAAATCGTGTTGCGGGCGCTTCGATTTCTGTATCCGTGTGGTTCGAACCAACACCCTCTTTGTAATGAATTCAACGCCATACCCATGAATCCTCCACCGCGGCACAGGACAGTGTGTCCAGAAGTTGGTCTGCTCAGTATACTTCGCGTAACGATTAAATATAATTCAGAACCGGACTTCAGGCTCGTTACCAACATCGATTTAGGGATTTCGCTTCTTTCAGCATGACCGGCACCGGAATTCGAACCAGTGCCCTTTCGGCTTATAGCTGCACTGACTCGGCTACTGCCGCGATCTCGATAACACGCCGGATGTGAAAGTCGGTCTGTAGATTATGCAGCCCGTTCTTCAATATTAAATACTGTGGTTGTGAGGTAAAAAATATAAAAAGTACTAAAAGATATGATAAAAAAGCTGCATGACGCTCAAGCTTCGCCTTCAAAAGAAGACCGCGATTGCGTAACCAGGACTGCATTAATCGTCTGCATTGATTTGTGTGCATCGCAAAGAAATAGCTCTGCTCAACATTGGAATGCCTGAAGCCTTCATAAAATATTTCTAGAAATATTCAGTATAAATAACAAGACCTCGGGACAGCGTCACAGTAAGGAAGAGTGGCTTTCAAGAGTAGCATTTCCCGCTCTTTTTGACAGTCTGTTAGTTGCCATCGCAGTGCATGTAGGTTGGTTGACTATAGTATGAGGTTGGGCGTGTTGGTAAGACGTGACTAATGGCGTAGCGCGTAAAATATGTGAGACACAGGAGAAGCGCCGGGACAAGGGGGAGCGCTCGGTCGGTTGACGCAACCCGCCATGGGGATCGGTCATGATACGAGCGGTGCCTTGCTATATTTAAATAAAAAAAACTCTTTTTTATCTCCAAATATTTAGCAATTGGTAGTTTTTGAAATAACTCGTTAGTTTAATTCACGAGAAAAAAAGAAAAAGAAGGAAACTATTGTTTCCGAAGAATATATGCTTGATTTCGATAACCTGATCGTTTAATTCGTTAAAGAAACAATAAAAACAAGAAGAATAATGTTTCTGAAAAATATGCTTAATTTCAATTTAATCGCACGCGGCCTCGCAAACGCTCCTGTGGCTAAAACCTAGTTCTCGCTTGGTTCACCTACAGCATCTTCGTCTTCATCGTCGCTTCTTGATGAAGGGGGTCAGGATTGATATCGCGGTCTTCGATCACTCTCACGGAGACAGCAATCGTCACTTATTTTGCGTCACCTTTAAACGTGCCTGCTTTTGAGGTTTTTCCGGCTCCCAAATTCGTTATCGGTGCTAGGTTAAGAAGGAAAATGATGTTAGATTAACTTTCTGTACCTTCAATTACGGCCACCATCAGAATTTCAGCACTTCATTTGTCATTGAAATAGTAAAATGTGCCAAGCTCGAGCAACAGCAGTCGCTAGACTGCGTTGTCAGATTCCGCAGCTAAACTTATATTTACACAGAGCTAGTCTGACAACTTGCCCTAATTGTTCTTTTTGTGGAGTACATGAGTCAACTGAGCACCATCTTATTTCTTGTAAAAGATACTCTGTCTCGCGCAAAAATACTTTAGTTGCCGTTTTCCGTCTCATTCGATTAGATTTAGATGTGCAAAACGTATTTTCTTTCGGGGCTTTATCTTTCGGCCACAGTGAGAGGAAAATCGCTGATGCATTGCAGAAGCTCGTCAAAGGTTCAAAAATATTTAAGTGTGAAACCCAATATTTGCTCCTACGTTTTAATTTCCCTAACTCCTTTTTTAATTAAAGTTCGCCGCGTCAATGCTTGTATTCTAGTACATTATATTATTACATTAACAATTTATTCTTGCTTCATCTTTCCTCTGTAAATAGACCAATCCTAAATTTTTAACAAGCAACTTCATTATAAGATCTATCCGGTACTTGGTTAATACCGTAGCATGAGTGTGAGCCACAGATTCAAGGACACTCGTTATGCTATTCTTCTTCGCCTCTATGCTGCTCTGAAATTTACTGTCGCTCGATAAACCATCCGCACATACTATCCGACATTGCCCGAGTCTTGAGGATGCCTGTCCTTAGAAACTATCTAAGTACTGTGCGATGTCCATGTCCCCCTATGCACCCAGGGCGGGGACAACACCGTCACCATCGACACCCTGTGCGACGCCATGACCGACCCGAATGACGACCGCACCCCTCTGGAGCGGTTTGCGCTGGTCAATGAGATCCTACTAAACGCTACCAAGCAGGAGTGCCTGGACTACGACTACGACGCCTTCATCAACTCGTTGAGGGAGATTCAGTTCAACAGCACCGAGGGAGCCGGAGGTAAGACTGCAGCACCAAGCCTATAGCGATTTTCACTGTATCGCGAGTCGCTTACGATGTTGTCTCTGAGAACCACAAAAGTCCACCAGAACATTAAAAGATCAGGTACCGTAGTTACACGGTTGTAAATCGACACAAACGTGGATTGACCATCTCCCACCCTCCTCCCAACTTCGCTCATCAGAAAAAAAAAATAAAAAAACATGGCTCATCCACCTGTCAAGAATCGCTATAACACAAAAGTGAAACGTGTCTCCACAGAGGCACAGTTCAGTGTTTATGACGCATTTTCCGCCCCTAGGGCGAAGAATGAATGCTATGGCAACAAATTGTAATGTCACGCGAATAACGGCAAGCAACGCGCTCTTCAAGCAGAAAGGATGCAGAGCTCCATAAATATTTTCTTACCTGGCGGCAAGGCATATCTGCTTAAAGGATGTAGTGTACTCGTATCCCGAAGGATTACGGCCACTAGCGTGGTCCGGTCTTGGCGAGCTGCAGGGCGCGCGCTAACCGTCGCCGTGTCGAGAACATGGTACTGCTCAAGGTTGCAACACTTTATTGTCTGTGGCAACACGAAAACGCAGTACAGCCCATTGCAAAGTTAAGCGGGAAAGCAAATGGAAGAGCTTATCCACGCTACGGACGAGAAGTATTACACAGGGTGCCGCGAGCACGTCTCCGTGGTAAAAGTGATCCACGGAGACACCGGGACCAAGGCCCGGTTGCTCGAGCGAGGGCAAAGGCGCTCGCGTTGGCTTCGGAGAGAGACGGGTTGGCGAAGCTAGGCCACGCACTAGGACACCGTACCGCCCTTCAGCCGAGCGTACGCAAAGGAGCATCAAAAGGTGAGCGTTCGCCTCGGGCGCGAGGCGCCGTCAGCGAATTCCGACGAGCCTTAAACAATGGAAGTCGACGGACGGAAAACGGAATGCATGCGTGCTCACCCTAAGCTGTCCCGGAAAAATCTGACTCACTCCCGACGCACGCGCGCGAAACCTCTCGGAAGGGTGTGGCAGCTTGGGCTAGTTGGTATGGCATGACGATAGTTATAGCGCGAGAACAAAACGACGACACAGAGACAAGAAGACTTTGCACGCGGCGCCACAGTCGACATTCGCTACCGGGTGAGAGGGGTTAAACGTCATTCCTCGCTCCCCACCGCGGCAGACAGCGGAGGAGGGGAGTCATGCCGGAACATGAGAACGGCAGAAATAGCCGGCAAAGCCCGCGCAAAAGCGGCGATGCCTAGCCTCAATTCCCACAAGGGACACTAAAGGCAAATAATAATTCAACGTTGATTTCTGAAATAGTGGTTCAGAAATCTCGTATTTTTATTTTTTATTTTCGTGCCAATGAAATGCTTGTTTTGTAATAAAATCGCGTTCTAGTGTGTGTGCGACACGCTCGGTGACCGAGTCGATTCGCGCCACGCGCTGAGAAGCGAGGGGTGGTAGATTCGACTTCCGGCGACAGAGCTTTCTTTCTTTTCATCTCTTCATGTATATTTTACAACGTCATATCTATGACTAAAATACGCCAGTGAAGCTGCGGTGGACCCGGACATAAAACTATTTCGCGTTAAATAAAATTCAGAACGAAAATTCACGAGCATTACGAAACGGAAATGTTTTAACTCACACCGATGAGTTTTACGTCACTCATCCACACTCACGTCTTTGAAGTGAGTGTGAATGAGTGTATCCATGCGTGCGTATGCCGAGCTCTGCGTGGCGAAGCAGCAGCAGGCATCGACAAGTGAACTTTCAGAAACAGCGCATTTTCCGCGCCTCGCTTATGCAGGCCGGCAGTGGACCTACCAGACGTGCGTCGAGTTCGGCTACTACCAGTCGTCGGACCTCAAGGACCAGCCATTCGGGTCTCTTTTCCCAGTCGAGTAAGTAGTGCTGCGTACTGTGCGTGAAGAAAAGCTATTTGTATGGACTGCTTGCTACCACACGGCGCGTTATCATTTATAAATAGGTGAATAGCTACGTGCAGAGTGCCTTATCAAGTAAGTTCTGTCGCAGTAACTGGTAATACTATTGCGCGCAGAACGCTTAAGGGGGCCCTGCAACACTTGTCCAGAATGATCAGAGAACGCTTCCGATCGGTAGCTGAGGCCCGTGCGAATATGCCAACCAAACGTTATAGAAAGGCACGCGGCGGAAAATTTGCAATAAAGTTTCAACGTCGGCAAGAAATCGTTCGCCCTTATCTCCAGCAATGATTCCATGTACCCTAAATCAACTGCCTTATACATATCCAAAAGACACAGTCATTGGCCGATTTGAACACCGTGAGATACTACGTACGTATTGCGGCCGCCACAGACAAGTGAGCTGAGCGCAACGGATGACGAGCAAGCCATGCGCGGCCCTCCCTCTGCATAGCTGTCAGTGCGCTCGCCGGAACTAACACAGAGAGAAGGCCGCTGAAAGCGCGCGACAGATCCTTGTAACTGCGCTCCTACCTGATAAATTAAAAAAAAAACTGTCTTTTTTTTTTGCCACAGTTGATTCGTGAGACAACGAATTTCTATTACATCATTTGATGATTACTTGGGAAAATGTTGCATGGCCACTTTGAGTACAAGAATGTGCAGTTAGACTTTGTCCCGATTCCGGCAGTGTTTGCCAGTTCTATAACCGAACGAACGTGTGATGTGGTGAAACCAATCTTACAAAATGTTTTTTCAAGTCGTGGGTGCCTGCAAATACCAGCCAAATATAAGCAACAAAACGAAATTTTTAAATGTTTTACAGTCGTTGCAATGCGCTGATAACTTTTCGTTACCGTCAAACATGATACGCCGTCTCGTGCGCAAGTGCCAACGCAATCACTTGAGCTGGTTTGACAAACGGGCTTTGCCACACGCATTGTGTTCTTGTGGCAAAGCTACATTTCAAGGCAACTCGACAGGACGTAGATGTACTGCAGTCTACATTCGTTTCAGAGACCATTTGCCATTTGTGGTGATAAATGAAGACAGATGAAAATTGTGCTATAACACATCGAAACCTTCGTCAAACGGTTGTGGCCTTAGACACGATAATATTGACGCAGCAGTACACTTTTCGCACGTGCGATACAGCAGCGTAATAAATCTTATTTTGAAGCCAAATGTTGGACGGGAGAGAATAACATAGAAGAAAGAAAGACACAGCGCCGACCACAACAAAGTTGTATTTATAGAAAGATGTCTCTGGTTCCGTACGGGAGCCATAAATTTATGAATATATTTTTACTTTCGTCGGTGGTATTTCTTCGTCCAAACCCTTCTTTAGCGGGCGCAAACAGTCGTATTGACCTCCGTTCCGTCGATCGGTGTAATATTCAAATTTCATAAATCAGTTTTCGGTAACAGACCAATAGGCTATAGCTCCTCTACATCCATGCGGTGGTGTCCACTTTGCGTCATCTTCAATCCCGCTCAAGTTATCAATGCACATCCTCTCTCTCCCCATTCTAAAAAGGTTCTTCGTCAAGCAGTGCAAGGACATTTTCGGAGCCCGCTTCGACGACGCCCTCCTTGCCAGTGCAGTGCGACGCACAAACACCTTCTACGGTGGATTCCGGCCCGCCGTTCACAACGTGACGTTCCCCAACGGATCCATCGATCCATGGCACGCACTGGGCGTCACCAAGGATCTCGCAGAAGACGTGACCGCCATCTACATCAATGGTCAGTGCTCTTCGGGATCATGCTACACACACACACACACGCACGCACACACGCACGCACACACCACGCTGATGATGATTATGGTATGCTATGGATGAAAAACTTTGTACTGGTCAGTTTTATTGCTCCTGGCACGCAACTTCCCGTATATTTTTAATTGTAACGCGCGATCCTTGGTTCCCCGTAAGTGGAGGACAGAGTTGCGCGTTTTCACGTGCCGTTCAATAATTTTGTGGGTTTTTTATACGTGCCAGAACGACGATATCATTACGAGACACGACGTATAGTGAAGGACCCCGAAAACTTATACTGTGTAGAGTTTAGACTGACATCGCACCATGCACGGGCCATTTCGCCTCCACCAAAATGCGACCACCGCGCTCGGAATCGAATTTGTTTTCCTCTTCATCTTCTGCTTCGCTCCCAGAACACGTGCGACGATTTGTCCGGCTTGACAGGCAATAAATCTGACTAGCGAGAGAACGAGTGCAGAGAAGGAAAGAAACGGTGAAATTCCTGGCGAGGCGGGATTCGAGACCACGTATCCCATCATCCATGAGTCGTGCGTCGTAACCACTCGGCTATTTAAGCACGCCAGCACAGCATACACAGTGAGGGAAAGGGGAGTGAGGGAAATGACGGTAGAGACTAAAGCATATCACAGAGAAAAGAATGAGAGAGAGAGAGAGAAAGGGAAGAAAGCGAACCAAAGATAAAAAGAAAGAATGGCGAAAGAGAGAGAGATTTATTCGCAAAAAGCCTGATAGGTCAGCCTGAGCAGTAGTATCTACATGCTACTTTACACAAGAGCAGGCGAATGAGAAAGAAAAAGAGTAATGCATGACGATGAGGAGCAGATATAGAGATAAATATAATGAAAGAGAAAACTAAATAGGGTAAAAAAATGCCGCCCGCATCTTCCCACGGGGGGAACTCGAGTAAACACAGCAAGCGCTTTTAGGAACGGCCTTGGTCTCGGCATCACGCGATTGTCGTAACGGACGTACAACGACGCCGCTCTTTCTCCTTGAAAGCCGGTTGGCGAATGTCCGTTTGATCATCACGTGGACTGACGTTAGCGCGTGCGATGGGTTAGGTCATTGTATTCAATGCGCGGCCTTTCTATTCCGTGAGGATCGAGTTACCTACCAACGTAGCTCAACAGTCGCCGATTCATACTCCCTTTAAATGGTTTCGGCGTGCCTACGGTTGTTACATGAAGCTTCGGATAGTGCCGTGGGAATGACGAATTTGGTTCATTCATTTTTTTTTTTCAGGGACCGCCCACTGTGCAGACATGTACCCACCCTCGGAGCATGACGTGCCCGAACTGACAAGAGCGAGAGAGCAGATCGAATACCTGGTCGGCAAGTGGGTGGGAGCCACATCGTAAACCCACCGCCTCGCCACCACCATGCAGACAGGCACCGGGCAGAAATAAAGGATGCACAGTTTTATTTCCAACTATGCAATCTCGGAAGAGACCGTCTCGTCTCATGAAAACTGCGCACTACGTATAAATAATAAAACCATGCTTTACATATCGTGCACACATCATATGCATGTGCATAGCACACAAATGTTTGTACAGCAGTGTGTAACACAACAATACTCTTGGCAGCATGGGCTAATATTAGGTTTTTCAAAAATTTTAACTATACATATTTTTTATAGGCGGTTATGAGCTCAGCAAAATAGGTGTTCTTGTCGAGAAGTTTGAAGGCGAGATAGGCACGCTGCTGTCAACAACATAAGTTTTAAAGATAATAATGGGTGGGGCTCAACGTCCCAAAACCACCATATGATTATGAGAAACGCCGTAGTGGAGGGCTCCTGAAATTTATACCACCTGGGGTTTTTTGGCGTGCACCTCCATATTAGCACACGGGCCTACAGCATTTTAGCCTCCATCGAAAATGCAGCCGCCGCGACTCGATCACACGACCTGCGGGTCAGTAGCCGAGTACCTTAGCCACTAGACCACCGCGGAGGGCCAACACACGTTTCAAAAGACGATCATGGGGAAAAAAGTGGAGATTCAGAGGCTTGTTTTAGCTTTGACACAATATGAATGTTGCCAAGAAAAGGAAAACTCGGTAAAGAAATGTTCTATAAGAACCATAGGAATATAGCTAATTTGCATAAAAGATTTGGAAGCGGACACACTTTAGTACATTTTCGTTGATAACATCACCCCTAATTCGAGATCTGCCAATCAAACTATAATGTTCAATACAGGGAGTATGATTGCGGGAGCATAGAAAATGCCGACGCGCGATGGCATCGAACGGGAACTCCCCGTGACAAAAATGGCGAAATTTAAAACTGAACGCCACGACAGATACCAATTATGGCATGTTTTCCTGTCCTATGAAATAAATATCAAAGGGAGGGGTAAAAGAATTCCTTCAAATGTGACTGCCTCTAAATATGCCCCAAACGTCTGCCCATGGCATATGTGCAGGGCAAAGTGCATTGCCTCGCCTATAGCAACAACTCTACGAGAACGACATGATCGCAGAGCTCACAACCTCTTTCATTCAAAAATCTGCACAGTCTACAAAACATCTATACAGTCTTTTGCTCGATACATATCACAGCAGTATTTAAAAAAATAAACATATCAGCTGTAGCAGCCTACCTTGCACATTCACATACAACCATGCTTATTAAGTGTCACAAGCAAGTTAACTTGCAATACATTTTTCGCTAGTGCAAATGTTTTAACAGTGAAAGCAAAAATGAACCGTTTGGATAATTCACGAGAACTTGCTAGGACACACAGTGCAATTCAAACAGCTGCACATCTTACCAATAGAAGAAAAATGCAGAAAAACTTGTTCTGAGGTGCGTCAATTACATGTGAAGTGCAGCGAGTGATCAGGTGCTTAAAAGCTGGTTGTGCAGCATTTGCAAAACTTTGTTAATGCACAGAATAAAAGTAATCAAAGCACATGTGCATTTGCACACATTCACAACAAATTTCAGCATTTCCTGATGGGCATGTTTATGTAAACACCACGTCACAAATAATAACTAAAAGCATGATCTACAATTACGAATTCCTATTTTCAAGTGAAATCAAGTGCTTTTGCATTCATAAACTTGTGTTGTGAAGCATAACTTGATGATATCACCTTGAATTTTCGCCACTCAGTGCCAGTGAGCAATATACAAGAAAGTCATGTAAATTAAAAATAATACAACTCTAAATGAGAACTTGCAGGTGCATTCGGCCTTGCTTGAACACACGTCTACATAGTTATGTGCTTATAATATTCTGTAGGTTTCATGTGGAAGGATTTGGTGCCCAACAAACGATCAGCCACACGTCTGTAGCTTTGCCAGAACCCTTACACCGCATCATAGCTTTAAACCATATTGTGCAAATACCTTAACACCGAGTTGAGTGCTAAATTTGCAAAGCAAGCAAGCACAGTTCTTCAGCTAGATATCTTTCACAATTCAAGGACAATAATAAAAATCAAGGACTCTCACAACAAAATGGAAGAATGTTCCAGGTCCTTTCTATTCCAAGAATTGCTATTCACAGTAAAAATAACTATAGCCTTTAACTACATAAATTATCCACACGAAAGAGACACACCTAAAGCACAATGAATTTTTGAACAAGTTCAGAGACAAATTACAGATCAGACAAACAACAAAAACCTGAAAGTAAATGTCTTCAATAAAAGGTCCTATACCAGACATCTCATGAAAAAGAGACTATGCATGAGTAGGCCGTACACACTACCACTGCATTATTCACTGCAATAGCACTGTTCATACAACGAAAATTCACTTGCACTGCTATGGGCATGAAATTTTTTGCAGTGCCTCGGAGCATTCAAGAAACACTAGATATGTTTAACACGAACAGCCAGCCTGTTTTTCAGCTAAAAATTTTATACAGCAATAATTTTGGCATCTTCCACTCAAGTTTTTACAAGCAGTGATGCAGTAAAATGCTATGTTCTTGGGTAACATAAAGACAAAAGATCACGAAAAGATGTCCAAAAGTGAAAGGCAAAGGAGAAAGACAGCAAAACTGCAGCAGTATGCAAAGCTGCAGGTTTCTTTTTAGCTTTCAATGACAATATACATCTATGTATATATTTATACAAGTGTAGAATCAAAAAAACACTACGAGGCAGAGTTGTGCAAATAAGCACTTTTGAAAAATTTTTCCAATATTCATCTTGTTTAGCTTAAAGGGGTGGTGACACCAAATTTTGACGCTATAAAAAAGCCTTCTGTAAGCTTCCTCTGCTTACAAGGACACTTAGAATGAAGTGTGGAACACAGTGAATGTTTAGAATATATAACAATTTGCTTGCAAAGTGCAATTAAATGTTTATTCTCAGTGTTGAGACCCACCCCTAGTGCAACTGACACTGAAGTGACTGTTTAGGAAGCGTAATGAACGTTTTCGTGACATCAGACAACATAAGAGTAATGTGCAATGAGTGATGAGGATTGATGACCCACAGCTCCACTGCACCTACTAAGCTAAGACGGCATTGACTGCGAACCACACTCATTTTTTTCTGGGGTTGCTGCCAAGGTAGCCAACGTTTTTCACATTTTGTAAAGTACTTTGCAGAGTTACAAGAACCTACGAAGGCGACATTAGAGTAGTTTAGTTCATTTACACACTTTTTTAATTTATTATGCCGGGTTGCTGTAACCGTAAACGTGAGAAGTTGGATAGATGGAGCCACCTAGTGGTGCTAAGATGAACCAGACAAGCATGGAATTACTGTTGCAGAAACCTAATTCATTCTATTTCTTTGCTAGTGTAAATTTTCGGCAGCTGCTTAGTTAGGAATGTGTCGCCTTTTGAAACATTTTTTTTCCATGGTCATTCAGTGAAAACAAAGAAACTCACCTGTCAATGAGGTTGCACAAAGCATTATAAGGCGTCGATGCTATCATACGGTAAACCGGTACTCTGCAAATATCTCAGCATATACCAGCATGCTGTACACACTAATACTCTCTGTTATAGAACTTTAGCAAGTGTTGAAGGCGTCCAGATGGTTCCTCACGTGTGTCTGCAAAAGCACACGATGCAGCAGCACGCGTGTCACACCTTTGTGGGCCAACGTGTTCATGGTTCCTACACAGTGATGTCAATGTCCAACTCGGCACACAGAAACCGAAACCAGAAGTCATTCACATGAATAGATATTCAATTATACAGCAGAAATATATGAATCTTGGAGCATGTATCATGCTTCCTAAGGCAATAAGAAATGTTTGAATCAAAGAACACACGAGCCATGGCACTACCCCTTCAAGTTCGGGAAGAGAATGTGGACGCATCTTGTACAGAAAGGTCAAATGAAGCAAAAATCAACAGTGAGTAGTGAATTCGACCTACTTTTCTACTTTCTTTCTAAGCAGACTCACAAATGTGAAACTGTCACGTGTGGAAACTACACCGATTCAGTGTATCTGATCCAAGAAACCAAAGGCACTGTAAATCTCTGCAGGATTCGACAGAGAAACATCTGAGCAGAAACACTGCCACTCTAGTTTTTCCTTCGTTGTCACAAAAAAATAAAACAGAATACCAAGTTAAACTTAAATATAAAATGCACACTCACTCCTGCAATGTTGCCTATTCACTTCATTATGTTATTCACTTTAAAGGGGCCATGACACAGACACCCAACATTTTTTTTTGCAGTTTTCAGTGAAAAATAAATGTAGATGCTATATTATGCCGATACAGATATAAAAAGTGGGTTGTAAAAAAATGTTTCAGGGTGAAACGAGCCCTAAATGCCGCCATCTGTAAGTCCCCCCCTATCACCGGCGACTGCCATTTTGCTTTGGCGCCTGTTACGTCACGTGCACCAAGACGCAGTGCCATCGGTCTTGAACCAGTTTCAGCCCCTACAAATCGTTTAGTTTCAGTGCCGAATTGAATGGATCTAATGTGCCTCAATTTAAAGAGCAAGTGACTATGAAACAATCTCGTAGACCAGATAACGGATGCTCACAAAGCCAGCTGCTTGTTACGTCATGGCTTGCGAGTTTACCAGTGTTGCCCGAGTCTCAGGCCGCTCGTATTCTTTTAAAAATGTTCCATCATAAACTAAGTGCTCGACCAAAAATGTGAAAATTTCACCAGCTTACTTGTGAAGGCTCACGGATTAACCCACACAAAACAGATTATGATCGAAAATTGGGTGTCATGGCCCCTTTAACAAGGAACTGAAAGAGTGCCAGTGCAGGGCATCACTATCAGAAACAGCAGTGAACCAAGAAGCTTCACAAACACTTGAATCCCACTATTTGCTGTCACAGTGAAGAATATTTTGAAAACAATAATTAATAAAACAGTGAATAGCAAGCTCACTGCTGCGAACTCCTGCTTACCAATGACTAACTTTGTCAACAAATAGCCATACTTGTTTTGCATATCCGCGTGAGAATTCAAAGATCACCCACATCGTACAACACTCAGAAAGTTACGAATTCTTTGGGAACAAGGTGACAAGATTAGGGCACTTCACTAGTACTACCAAGCACTTGTAACAACTAAAAAAGTTCAATGCATCTCAAGACAACCCGTAAATAGCATGAAAATTGGGATACCTAACCAGGATATCCATGTTTGTCAAAAGAAAAGGTGAAATTTAAAGTTTACTAATAGATTCCAGTTGATGCACACGATGATGTGAATTCGGCTTCTAAAGCTTACTTCACATCTCTGTAGAGGAAACAGGGCTGAGCAGCTTGGTAACACAGCAGCACCAAAAGGTGATTGACTTGTCCTAAAGGACTGACACTCTGAGGGTGGGGGAGGGAGGGGGGTCACTTTAAAGAGTTCCCCACAAACACGAGGGCTATACCATCCTTTGAGCTCAATCGAAAGAAGTTATTTATTTTTTTAAAGTATGATTCCAAAAACCGTATGTCTGATTGATAACTTCTGGCGATATCACTAGCAGCACATGTTGATATGCTTAACTTGTGAAAATAAATGAAATAAAATACAATGCATCTCCCACAAGCGTCACGTTCCCACTGCCCGGTTTTCCAACCAACTGACGAGATTCACCTTAGAGTCTAACAGAAAGGTGAAAATATTTACAAGAGCGGTGAACCAACAATATAGTCTCTGTACACATAAAAGTCACCATGCATCTACACACACATAAAATATATTTATCGGAAATAAGTCCTAATAACAGCTTGATCTCTGTAAAAGGAACTCAAGTTACAGGAACACACTTGAAATGACAAGTTTAGTGATGGCACATGCACGCTGCTCATTCAATTTAACTAACACAACAGCACTACTTTTAGCAAGCCTGTCAAGTTTCTTCAATGCGCTGTGAAGCACTGGCCTTCTATGAAGTTTGTAAAAGTGCAGTACACGGGCGTGAACGTGTTGACAAGTGCGTGAGGCTACGCCTCTTCAGCTCTGTGTGCTTTGACTTAGTTGTGGGTTGTAGGTCTTGCTATTCTTCGTCAATTCCTCCTTGAAGTAAGTCACAGTTTTCCTTAAACCATCAAGCAGTGGCACCTGAAATGGTCGTATACGCACGTTTCAGAAATCCCTCTTTTTTCTCTGGAATACAAAAATTGCTGCTCACTTATGCACACACTCTGACAACAATCAGGAAAGCACCACTCCAGAACATTAATATTGATGATTGCAGCACCAGTTTAAAGGCATCAAGACTGATACAAACCAAACTTCTGGCCATCACAGATATAATAATTTGAAAGCAAGGGGGATAAGTCTTGTTCTAGGTCTTTTTAAAAGCATTTTGTTTATGCAAATTACCCAAATGTAATTTATTCATAGATCACTAAGCGATTTCACAGTATGTTTCAATATGCCAGTGTATGTTTTCTAGACAGAGGCATCTGCAGCTTGGATAACGATGATGCACTGCAGCGCCACAGTATATGCAGCAAAGAAAAAGTGTTTGTGTAAATGTTGCCTGCAGATTCACAGCAGCGACTCATTTATCATTTAAATAGATACACCAAAAGCTCATTACTTCGAGCTCAAAAGGGACGATAAACTTGGTCTAATTGAGCCAAGTTTGAATTCACGGGCGGGCATTTTCGACTGAGCCGACAGAGTGCCCCACTGTGCAGACAGAGCCTCAACTTGTTATCACGAATTAGACAATACTAAGTGTCCGTGGCAAGCGATTTCGTAAATTAGGTTCATGGAACTGCAACGGTGAACAGAAATTAATTGATGAGTCAGGGATATGCCAGAAAGAAGCACCGACATATACTTACATGAGCAGTGAGACTTGATGTTGAAATATACGAAGCTACTTAAGCTACCGAACACGTATAATTACCATGTTTACACGAATGCAAGTCAACTCGAACGTAGGGTCGACCCCCGAAAATACACAGCATGAAAAAAAAAAAGGAGCTCGAGCACATTTTATTTTAAAAAAAAACTTTTTTTGACACAATGTAAAGCCACCGATGTGCGAAGGTGATTTCACTGCAGTACTTGAAAGCTGTGCAGAAAAGCTAGCCTTGTAAAATACGCGGAAAAAGTTTTTTAAAAGACGTCCCAACCGGAAATAGTTTCGATTTCTAGGTCTTAATTGCGAATTGAGACAAAATGGGTCGACCTAAAATCGCGTAAATACGGTACATGACCGCGAAAATGCAATCAAAATTAAAAGTAATCAGTCATTTGCATTTGGTTGCACTTCTTCTGTCACAACTCCAAGGCATCGTTTGCAGATTGCTCAAGAGCTTCAGCACAGTGTCTTAATTCTCATCTGCTGATGAATGCTGCTGTTTCGTTGTTTTGCATCCCTAGTAAATTTGGTTTGGTTTAGTTTTGTAACACATTATGATCCCTCGGGGCTGACTTCTTTGAGGAGCAATGAAAACCACGGGCTCTCAGTTCAAATAAACTGTTGTGGACACTGATGTGTTCGAATTATCGGGAGCTTTCCCCATAGAAATACACAGGGCTGTGTCTTGACCGAAGAGTCACAGTTCGAATTACCCTAGCAAGATTTAACGAGCTTTTACTATAATGACTTTTTTAAATAACAACTAACCAAACATGGGTTAAAGCGGATGATTCAATCTATAGATCCTAAAAAATATAAACATCGCAACAAAATTTAAACCTCCAGACACCCCCCAACCCTCACACATAATAGCCATTCATGCCTTAAAGAGCTACAATACAATTGAAATTGTGTAACAAATGCACCCTTTAAAGCAGCAGCGACACCACTTTAATGCATGTTGCGTTTTTTACGTCAGTGCGCAATCATCGATCTTCTAGTAATGGTTCGGTGCAGATAATTCAAAAGAGGGACGAATTATTATATTTAATATCGATTAGTATGCATAGTATCGAACACAATTCAAAGCGGGTGCAATTCTCGCCAATTTTCAGTGCTGACAACACTGTCAAGCGGTCACCTCCCACGGTCCCGCCCCATCTGATCACGTGGCCACACGAAATGGCGACGCGTTTTCTAGTTGATATTTCATCTGCTTGGCGCGCACGTGCAGAGGCATGTCTCTGCCGCACACTTTGTCGTCGCCGCCATCGTCATCAGCGTTCACAAGAGATGAAAAAAAAAAAAAAAAAACACACACACTGAGGAATGTGGAATCGCCGTGATTTGCAGCATGGCGAATCATTTTTGATTCAATCCTCTGAGCAGTGATGCTAAATCGATGCCGGATTGAGCAGTGACGAGGCAGCTAGAGACGCACGCGTAGGACACGCTGGTTGGTAATACATATGAACGCTGCGTCTTTGTTACTTGTTTTTGATGACCGCAACCTCATATAACAACATTTAAGCTCAGGACTCCATGAAGAATCGCCCGAAGCGGTGCAACGAAAACACAAGAATAACACGAATGCGCTGCACGAACCAAAGCAAGTCAAGCCGTTTCCAGGCAGCCAGGAGATGTCGCCAGACTGTACCACATATAGACACCGCGATGACAACACTAAAAATGTCGACGTCAACTCAGGTCGCTCATTGGCACTCAGATCCCGAGACATGGCCCAGGATTTTGCTGAACACGTCAAAATACTGTCAATGTCTCATGGCCGGGAATGTGCCGTTGAGCCTTTGGACGCTCTTCCCACATGAAGAGCGTCCAAACTCTTACATGAGAGACACCATTCATACTTCGCTAAAAAAACTCGTGCATACCAAGCAATCGAATGAACACCACATCCCGATTTTGAAATTTGGTGTCACTGCTCCTTTAAAAAGGCTACGCAAGAGCATGCTTGCATCAGTGTATTGGTATGGGCAGTGATGTGATTACCACCGACAACTACAAAAATTAGTAAAAAAGAAAATCCCATGCAGAGCTATTTACGTGGTAGTCAAAAGTAGCCAAAACAATGGCTCTTACGTTACTTTTATAAGTACTATCATATAAAAAAATCAGTACTAGTATTAGATTCAGCAGCCAGCACATAAACAAAACAGGCCAGCTCACTTTTGGTTCCCAGCTGAGGTATTTCTTGGCTCGTGTAATGTCAGGTCTTCTCCTCTGGGGGTCATCAATGACAGTGCTGACATATTCTATTTTGCTCGATCCCCCTGTATACAATAGTAATGTTATTATATTATTATCATGCACATTACATTTGGCACAACAAACAAATTATTTTGTGCATTTAGAGTGTAATGTCATAATATTTAGCAACCCGAGAATCCTATCATTCTTGAATATTCAGCAGAATATTCTGTGTAAAGAATATCTGCAGTAATCAAATACAACAATGGCATTAAAAAATGGCCTAACTAAGGCTGTTCACACAGCTTACCTCACCCATGGTAACTACAGATCAGGAGAATGCTTTTAAACTTTGAATATGGGTCAACCTGCATTGGCATAGGAAGAACTCACCAACAAGGTTCTTTACAATCTGTGCGAATTCCTCGATGGTATGCTCCTCAGGGTTTCCAAGATTTATAGGTCTCGAGTAGTTTGCGTGCATCAGGGCGACCAAGCCATCTACGAGGTCGTTGACATACTGAAACGATCTGGTCTGCTTGCCGGAGCCATGTATCTGCACATCCGAAGAGACAACAGTTAAACTTTTGGAAAGCGACCTTAGAGAATATAGTGGCATTATGATGGCACAACGCAGCATACGAGGCAACTCCCACTTGTCATAAGGAATGGTGTGCAGGAATTGTCACATTCCCGTACAAAAGCATTTTCTACTTCTGCTTTTCCCAGACCAGCAAAAGACTCGAACAGCCTTTCCCACAATGTCGCCACAATCACCTGCCCATCAGGCTTCGCGCATAGCATTTCAAATGTGATTTCACATTGATCATCGTAACAATATAATCAATTGTAGATTAACCCACCCCTCATTTAGCACCTTATCGGGGGCTTTTGAGGGAATAAAAATGAATGAATGAAAGAATGAAGCACTGGCATAATGAGCTGAGTGAGTTGGACAGGAACACTACTGCATTTGAGGGTAACTAGCTGGATTACGAGACAAGGCAAATGCGTGAAGGGGAGACAGTAAATAAGGTGGGCAGATGAGATTAAGGCGTTTGCAGGTATAATGTGCCAGCGGAGGGCACAGAACCGGTTTGATTGGTGGAACATGAGAAAGGCCTTTGCCATGCAGTGGGCAAAGTCAGGCTGACGATGATGCCTAGTGCATTTGTAATCTGCATGCATGCGATTCTAATTCCAGCAGCAGAAGGCAAAGCAAACTCTTGCTCTGCTACCAAGGCCATTGGACAGAGCACAGTCAGTGTGCTCTGCCTTATTATTTTTAGTCTACACATATCTAGAGGCCCTCTAAACCTCTACATATGCATACGCCATCAGGTGGACAGTACGACAAAAGCACCATAAATGACATCAACAAATGCTGAGCATCAGTGTGATCGCTATTCCAATAAAAAGTGAACTGCATGGGATTTCAAGATCTAAAAGCCCCCTCTCCCTCCCGGTGAAACTTGTAAGCACTAAGAGGTCAAGTTGGGCCAGTTGGATAACGTTCATAATTGAAAATTTAGTTGAAGCGCACTAAAAAACGGACAGACAAAAGAGGCTGACAAGTTCAAGTTTATTCAATAACGATGTCAGTTTACAGAAAAGTGCGTACAGGATTGGTAATACACACAAGGAGCCCCAAAGTTAGAAACTGTCAGGGGGGCTCCCATACATGATGTTAATGGGAGAAAAAACAAAATATACAACATCCAGTTGTTACGGTATCTTGAGTAAAAAAAAAAAAGACAGTGCTTACAAGCGCTGTCCTTGTCAGCCTCTTCTGTCCATTTGTTTTTTAGTGCGCTTCAACAAAATATTCAATTATAATTGTAAGCACTGCAAGCATGCCCAACTATGCAAACAAAACACAAAAGACTGCATTTATACAGTACACTACTGGAAGAGGATGCTACAATGTGGCACCAACTGTAAAATCCCTTCATAGTCAAACAAATATTAAACGTAGAAGTGCTATCCTTACACAAACACTTGACTTATTTGAGTCAAATCTTTTGCATTTATAAGGTTAGATTCTGCAAGGGAGATGATGAAACCGATTGATCAGATTCATAAAGATTGCCCCAGATTAATAAAACATATAGAGAAGAATGCACAACCTTTGTAGCAATCTTATATGTATAGTCAGTGCAGACTGAAAGAGTTCATCCTTATTTAGTGTTAGAATGATAACACTGGCAGACTTACAGTCAACGGTTTGTCCTGCAATGCTTGTAGAATGAAGTTGCTGACCACCCTGCCATCATTCAAATGCATGCGTGGCCCATATGTGTTGAATACACGAGCCACACGCACGTCGACATTCTCCTAAGCAAAAATAAAATATTTATATATATACATATACAAATAAAATACACAATCTGTAAGCACATACTCAGCTGCACTCAAATATATGTCAAAGTATCACCATTCCTGAGACTGCTATATTGAAACATGCCTCTAGAAGGCATGTTTAATACAGCCTCTGAAGACAGTAACTAAACAAATAATACTATAAAAAATGCAGGGAATTATTTTGATCCCTTCAAGGCAAAAAAAAAAATCAGTTGGCCAGAGACTATTCGAAAATTCAGAATGAGAATGAAGCATGACATAAACAATGCCACCAGAAAAGCAGCTTTTTTCTTCTTCTTTTATGCAAATAAAGCTATTCCTTTTATGTAGGGTGAATTCAATTTACAATTTGATACAACCACTGCTAATTCAAATCTAGGTACCTCATTTCTCAATAGGTACACTTTTTCTGGGAAATAACGAACCATGCAGTGCATTTACTCCAAATTCCTACACACTGAATGTAAAACTCACCCAACTATATTTTCCCTCAAAGTACACTACACAAGCCAAGACAGTCACAGAAAATTATATACAAGGTTCTACAGACAAAAATGCCCATTATGATTATCAGGCACACCATAGCATGGGCTTTGGATTAATTTTTACCATCTCGGCTTTTTTAATGTGCACTCAATTTTAAGTACAGGTATGGGAAACAATAATGAGCTTCATATAAGTCGAAGCAATCTGTACATGAAAAGATACATGCCTGTTTGGCATAAGCATAGCAGAGGGACTCGGCAACTCGCTTGCCCTCGTCGTAGCACGATCGTGGCCCCACAGGATTGACGTGGCCCCAATAGTCCTCATTCTGAGGATGCACAGCTGGGTCCCCATAGACCTCTGAAGTTGACGTTATCAAAAGACGAGCACCAACACGTCTTGCCAGCCCTGCATGCACAGCAAACCACATTTTTTCGTGCAGATAAAAAGTAACATTTTTTAAATGGTTATGACAGGGAAAACTAGCAATAACTCGTTTGTAGCACAAGACTAAAAGTGAATCCATATGTATTTCTCAAAGAGATCTTAATGATTGATGGTCAAGCTGTCCTTGTCCAAAGATTTTGATTGATTATAGGGGGGCTTTAACGCCCCAAAACCACCATATGATTATGAGAAACGCCGTAGTGGAGGGCTCGGAAATTTCGACCACCTGGGGTTCTTTAACATGCACCCAAATCTGAGTAGTAGTCCAAAGATCGAACCCGGGACAAACACCTTTGTGGAGCAGTCCCTCTAGCAACTGAGATAACCAGGAAGCAATCTATTGGCAGTTCGAGGGTTAATTATTCAACAACACACAGGAAATGAACACTAAATATTGCTAATTAACCATTTTTCATAGCCTTGAGCAACAGTTGGTTGTCAGTCTTTTCTTTTAATGACCCCTCTGCTGCCTTGCAGATTCTGCAGAACTCATTTGGAAACTTTTTAATGCCTTAAAGCAATATCATACGAGTCACATCATTTAAAATGTACAATTAATTTGTGAGAGATCTGCAAGATAAAGACCAAGGCTGTTATTGTATTGCTGTTAATGCTCTTTATTAGTGTCTACTATCAGCCTAATTATTTCTTGCTTTATTAATATTCCTAATGACACTCTATACCAGAGCTGCCTTACCGAGCATGTTGATGGTGCCCAATGTGTTTGTCTTGATTGTCTTCACAGGATTCATCATGTAGTGGGGAGGAGATGCGGGTGAAGCTAAGTTGTAGATGTAGTCGACTGCAAACAGGCACAAAGTCACATCAACAGCTGACTGGACCAAGGGGCATCACGGCTCTCAGACATCTAGCTTTGTGTGCACATACAACGCAAGTTGCAGGGTTGCGCTCCATGTGCAACAACTTGTGAAGTAAATGTTATAAAGTTAGCCAGTTCTGAGAAAGAATTAGGTTATATGCATAGACAACAATATATTTCACTTAAAAGCAGCCCTAATATGTAATCGAACAGAGCGACGAAGCAAGTCATACGAATGTGCAGTTTTACCATAATGTCATTTAATTACATGTGTATATAATCATGTGATAAAGACAAGCTAATATCACAGTTGAAGAATGAACACTGCTACAGAAAGATCAGTAGGAAGTGTAAAAAAATAATGGCTTAACTCGCTGACGTTCACATATCTTTTAAGTTCACACACACACTAGCTTGGACTAGCCACATGACCAATTTTCATGAACAGTGGGGTAGATTTAATAGAAATGTAAGTAAAAAGATTTAAAAAAAACTGTCCATAGATGCCAGTCAATATTCAACCGATGAATCATGCTCTACAAAGACTACACCATCGGCTGTTGCATTATTTATTTTAGCCCCTCAAATGCGCCAAAACGGGAAAACATCGCTGCAGAAATGAGTTATCAACTGTGCTGTGCTGCGGGTGACTGACTATTTGCAACTCCACAGTGAAATTGCATATGGTACCATGCTCTTTACATATGGACCTTTTTTTTTTACAAGCTAGCCACCAAGTTACGTTATTCAAATAAAGTTACAACAACCCTAGCTTTAAGAAGCCTTACCTTCAATGAACAAAGGACTGACAATGTCATGATGAATGAGCTCAAAATTTTGATGGCCAATCCAGTGCTCAATGTTGCGTTTGCTGCCAGTGAAAAAATTGTCCACCACAGTGACTTGATGGCCCTGTTGCATAAGATAATCAACAAGGTGGCTCCCCACAAATCCAGCACCACCAGCAACCTAAGGCAAATAACAAAGCAGAACTCTGTTAGGAAGTCACAAGGCCTATTCTGTGAACTGCAAAGTATCAGCTGGTTTAACTGAACAAACAAATAAGTTCTGCAAACACATGAAGCTACCTTTATCAGCTTGACACATGTTTGCACTAATATTTTCACTACAGCCTTTCAAGAAATTCTTAAGGTAACATGCCTAAAGTATGTACTCGCAAACTTCAGTCTCCAAAAATGTGTGTGAAAGGTCCTTTTAAAGTGTGCTTTTTTATAGCCCTAAGTACATCTCTACAAGCTGTGTTATGGTATAAAGAAATAGAAAAGACGTCAAGTGCAACGTATACTTACATCAGGCTGCCACTACTGTTTTGTTACAATACTACGAGAAAGCGACCCTGTGAAAGCATGCTTGTTACAGGAGGACTGACACCAATTTTCAAAGGTGAATTAAGTCTGCCACACAAATCTCCTATACACAGAGACAGCTTTGAGCAAGTGCAAAGTTTAATAAATGCTGACAAGATATTTTATTTTGACATAAAAGTCATTTTTTATATGGCGCATCTACTGACGTCAAAACTAGAGTATCAATAGTGGCAACTTCACATTCCATTATGACTAGTTGTGTTGACGTCAGGTATCAAAACATTCATTATGGCCGCTTGCGAGTCACCTGTGGAAACGTGCAGATATCATGTACAAGCACAGAACGACTCATACCATGATGTGAAATAGGTGTACAGTAGAAAGCAAAACTAGCTTTTTAAAACCAAAGTGTAATTTGTTTTAGGGTGCACTCACACTTGTTAGTACATATTCTAAGCTTTTGAGGGATTGGTCTTTTATTTGATCAAAAAAACGACAACAGAAAATTTTCATGTCAGTACACTTTCAGACGGTTCAAATAAATATCAATTATCAGCATGGTTTGTGAAAGGACATCGGTATGACTGCTGCACTGAGTGTTAGCGTTTTTGACAAAAGGGCAAGAGATAATAGTGCAAGTCCTCAGCACTATTTCGAATGGCTGGTTTACAAAAAAATTTTAATCTAAAGACAATTATTAATTTCCCTTTCACATACCAGGATGCGCTTCTTCTCTCTGTAGTCTAGCTGCTGCACAATGGGGAAAGTCTTTGGTGCATTCTTTTCAAGTTTTTGGATGCGGGCTTCCAAGTCGCGCAGTCTATTCTCCATTCTGGCAATCAGTTTGTCCTTCTCGTCGGCTCCTGCTTCATCAGCTGTCTTTAATAGAGGGAGCTGCTTGGCAACAACACTGCCACAGCACAAAAAGAGAAGTATGAACTCTGCATAGGCTTTTCAGAACAGTTCTCATTATTGCATCCAGGAATACCCGTGAGAGCAAAACGATAGAAAATATTTGCACCTGGGAGCATCACATACGACGGCAACGATATCGTTTTGACAGATAGCGGGCAATTTTACCCCTCTATAAACTTTTTAAATTCAATTAACATGCACACCAGTACACTGTACGAGCTAACAACTTAAGAACACAAAAACGACCATGCGATGATGTCGTGACAGTAGCCGGATTACAAGCGAGCTTAACTGCTCCGAGATGGGCATGCTAGTGTGTAGGAACTTACGAAACAGGCGGATGATGGCCGGCGTTGAAGCCCGAGGATGGCACAGGCACCGACGGGACAGAGGAGGCCTTTGCCGAGCTCCCCAACTGCCGGTAACTGAGCGCAACTGGCCACAGGAAGAGAAACAGGCGGCATGTCCTTGGGTCAGGGCAAGCCGTACTGAATCCCAAACTAGGTGGGGACCTTCACTTCATTGATTATAAGGGAGGGAACGAGTTCCATCTGCGGCCGCGGCCAATCAATGCAGATTACCCCGGAGACTTTAGTGCACCACTCGCGTGAAACAAAAACGACCTCTCTCAAAAGGGCAACCTAATAAAAAAAAGGAAGGTGGTCTCTACAACAATGTCACAGGCACGCATGAAAACGTTCTAGACTGGAGCTGCTACTGTGAAACAAGGCAAATTTGTTTATCGCTAGTTAGGATGTAACCATGAATGATTCTTTCGTTAAAATAAGCAACGCAAGCCTCTTACACGCTTCAAGCTCTATTAAGGTAAGAATAATAAGGAAGACCGCTGGTACCCATATGTTCGCAGGAAGAGCTCACAAGCAGAACGTCCAAGCTGCGATTTGAAGGAAACGAATTTACTTACCGAGAGCTAGTACCAGAATGCACGCCATCAAGTACATAGCTGTCATCTTGAACTTTAAGTTGTGTCTTGCAGGAACATCCCCTGTATGTCGATGCATCGCGACACTTCCACACGAGCTACGAACGAGTAGCTCAGTTTCGGAACCAAGCGACACACTTGGCCACTCGGTCGGAGCGCTCACATTCTGCTCAAACGCGTGTTCAGTTCAACACCTGGAGTAGTCCAACATATGTGGCAACAGCCACGGACTTCAAGCAGCGCAGAATCGTACAACATAACTTGTAACAAACCAAACCACCCAGCCTCAAGATGCAAGACCTAATGCATGCGCCGCGAAAAAGCTAAACAGATACATTGTTGCTAACATGGCTTTCCGAACTTCGACCAAGCTGGTCACTCAACGAATTGCAAGACGCTACATTTTTCTTTTGTTTCTCCTTTGCAAGTATCGCGAAGTTATATAATATTAAGGACACATTTTTTGCCAGTGCCAGAACGTTTCATGTATTTCCCGTTCGTGCAGCTATGTCATCCCGCCACCCCCCTCCATTTTTTTCTTCTTAAAACAAAGGGGAAAAAAATAAACTGAAAAAGATTTTGAATATGTAAAGCTGCGTGTATTGTAGTCACAATAAAACTCAGACTGCGCGGTTTGAAGGGTGCAAACACAGTGGTGACGCACATTAGACACATTCATGGTGCGCAAGGCATGAGAGCAGTTTATTATACATGCATGCAACCAACATGCACATTTATGGTAAATGTCAATAACATGCTTATAGTTCTCTATTACACAAGTGAAAATTTTTCTCCATCCCTCTGCAAAACGTCCGCACAAACTAATGATGTACACATGAAATAGGCTGTCTGTGCAGCTATTCTTCATCTATCGCTGTGCAGCTTGGCCTTGATGACTTCTTTGAACTGGGACAGAATCTTGGTCTCCCTCTTTTGGCGCTCCTCCCTGTTGAACATGGCCAGAGCTCTCTTCTCGTCGGCACTGTAGATCTGGTTTTCCTTACGCAGACGCACAGCCTCCATGCGGCGGTGCCTGTTGCGAGTGAAAACAAAAATTATAATAAACTACTGTAACACACTGTACAATTTATAACAGAATAACTATCCTTATATCAAAATTTAAAGCCAAGTGTGCTATAAAGAAAACCATATGGTGGAGGTTGAGCTAAAATTCTAAACTGTTTGACTAAGCAAATGCAAATATAACAAATTTTTTGAAGTCCGACCTTGAAGTAGGATGGATAATTGGGCTAGTCGGCAGTGTAATTTTAGTAAAGAACCTGGAGACATAGGAGAGTTTCTTGTTATACGTGATGTACTTTTATTGTGTGCTTTCTGTTTTTGCTGCGGTATACCAGTCGCTTTAGGTTTTGCTTCTGGTTCCATCGCTAACGTTGCGCATTACGCCTGGTATTTCACACTCACTGACTGACCGTAGATCAGCTGTAGTGTTTTTCAAATTGTGTGTCAAGTTTGTAAGTAATCCCAGGAGCATCCACATTGGTTAGGAAGGTGCTGCTTGTCTTGTACAACTTCATTATTTCATTTATTTGAATGACAGGTTTTACGGGGAAAAAGGTTTCGCAAGGGCAAATCTGTGTGAACTATGTCCCAAACCTTCTATTCCACACTTGGTGTATAGACAACTATTCAATAGAAATCTGATGCTGCTGGAATATCAGTACATGACATTTTTTTAATAAATTTCAAAATTCTCAAGATTGTTCCCAAGCAACAATTTGCTAACGAGTGGCTCTTCACAGTTTCATGCCGTATTCAGGTGTATGGCACTTTCCGTTTCAAGATGTCCTAACCATAAATAATGCCACTGCTACTGTGTCGTGAATTCACCCATTTCTTACAACCACGTACCTGCTGCCAGACATGACGTATCCCACAGACTCAAACGACTCAATCTCGTTGCTCGTGAGGCCAATTTCACCTCTCCTCGGAATACGTTTTCCCTCTGCCACATACGCAGCCATTGCAGCACCTTCTCCTGGCAGCAAAGCTTTGCCATAACTGCAAGGAAACAGAGAGGCCGTGTCATTTGCTTCTGCACGTGTTAGAAATGTGACATTGGCGGAGGCCAAGATCGGGCACAGTTCACTTACTCTTTAGCAGACAGTTGAACGTGCTGCTTTGGAAGGGGGCCGATTATTTCGTCATCATCATCAAAATTGTTTTCTCCTAAAGGGCGGAAGAGACGTGCAGCTTAGAAATTTCAGCAATTTTAGTCAAGATATACAAGGCAACAAGCATTTGAAACAAGCTTGTAATCTATGCCAAAACACACTATATATCTCACTGAATGACAAAAGCAATAGGTAAAAAAATTTACATGCAAAGCTAGTTTTAGGCTGTGCCATTATATTGTAGACAAGGAAACTTAATAAGCATTCCAAGACCAGAAAAGTTCATGCACTACCTGCTGGTGCAGCACAGCACAACCCAGAGATAACTACACTCTGTCTGCATAATAGCACGAACTACTGCAACAAGTGTTTTTGGGTGGTTATCACGCATGAGGTTTCAGGCTACAAAAAAAAATGACGGGAGCTAAGAAACATCTCGGAAGTGCTGCGCCTCTAAGAAGCCCCTGCATCATGTCTGCTGAAGGGGCTTTAGTGCTATCTACCAAATATTTTTTCGTTGGAAGCAACACTATACTGTTGTTACTGTCACTTCAGGTAGTGATGTAGTCATACCATTAATGGCCCTTACAATAGTCATTTATGAAGACAGCCTCTGCTTTTGCGTGTATCTAATTACAAATATTCTTTGCATGAAAGCTATCATCAACAGGCGACTGCAACTCGCCCAACTTTACATTTTCCGGCTAGGTGCCAACACAGAAGGACCAGAGGATGCATGCACCAGGGCACACAACCTTCTCTTTTCTGATACTCACTTCGTTTGTCAACCCACATCTCAAACTCGCTGTTGCCAGCTTTGCTCTTCTCAGTGTCCGATTGTTCAGACTCTGAAGTACTGGATGAACTGGAGGAGCTGCTCTTGCGTCGATGGTGGTGTTTCTTCGCCTTTTTCTTTGATTCTTTCTTTTTGTGCTTCTTTTTTTCTTTTTTGCGTTTTTTGCTTTTGTGTGAAGAGGACTCCTTGCTGTGCTTGTGCTTACGTTTCTTCGATTTGCTTTCTGCAACGAAAATGCCGAGCATCTCACCTGAAGTTCATTTGCAGGGTTGAAAGTCTTCGAAGTTGAATTCCAGTACTCGTAGAACGAAATCAATTTTCTATGTCAAACTTACTTTTCTGGGCATCGGACGATTCTGTCCTTGCCTTCTTCTTGCTGCTTTGTTCTTCATCTGAACTGCAAGATCGTGAAATAAGGATTAGAACAGCCAGTCGCCTCTAAAAGAACGTATTTTCTAATCGTATTCCAAGGCTTATTTCGGCACGGTTTAGTATATGTCACAGGCTTTAGTGAGGTGTTATGACGCGCTTCATGTTTTATAGCTCAATGATTAAGTACACACAATTAGAACGAGAATGCGCTGCTGCTTACTGGAGTGGCCTGTCTGGAGACTCTCCCCACAAACTGCGCACACCCTGGGCGCCTATTTTCTCCCGTTCCTGTCTCCTCCTGAAACGAGGCGATACAAACAATAGAGAGAGTGGGAGTGACAATAAGAAACTTGTCACATGCTTGCCTCGCGACAGTACGGCGGCAAATTTGACGAAGAACCTTGCAGCTGAAGGAACATACCTAGCCATGAAACTTTCCGACATGTCAGGCAATGGTCGCCTGAAGTTGCTCTGCGAGGGTCCGTCCTCCCGATCATCCCGACGCTTTGCATGATCCGAACTCGATGCCCTAAGAGAGTTTGTCAGTTGGTCGGTGCAACAGCGGAGCAAACGTTTTACTAGCGTATCAAGGTGCACGCTTAGCGGCTTACGCACCTGTAATCCTTCTTCTTGAAGCTGTCAAAGCTTGGCGCCGCCGCGGGAACCTGGTAGCGGAGGCCACTACTCATGACGGCCACATCTGTTGCGACCAACAAGGCTAAATCAGTTTCTTTTTTTTAAAACTTTCTCAAAACATACGTAAAAGTCTTATTTTTGTCCTTCACATGTTTGTACGCGGACTAGCTTCTCTCGCAATCTCGAGAGTCGCAAAATAAACGGTTTCAGCCATCTATACAGCGTCTGTTTTGCTTGATGCTCGTACTACAAACAATGTTTACTTACTTACACACAGTGATGTTTGTATGGCGTTTTAAAGTTACTTGTAAAAAATAGAAAAAAATAATTTTGTTTCAGCGACTGTGTAGTAACGTAAACGCTCACCAGTTTTGTGTTCTACATTTATTTCTTTTTCGGTTTCCATTCGCATCAAACATGGCAGCTCCCCAGAGCACGCGAGAGCAGTTGCTCCGGCTAGTCGACGACATCGAAATCATTGCTAAGTAAGTGACTGAAAAGTTTTCGAGTACGCCTTTACAGAGGCATAAGCTCTTGTGCCGCTACATCTTAAAGGCCGATGTCTTCCTGTGCTTTGCTGACTTCACATCGTTCTCCCTCCGGTGCTTCGTCAGCGCTACTCGCGTTTCCATTGCCCGAAAATGGGTTAATTTTCCTCGCAGGGAGCTGTTTGAGAACATCATTGCTCCGAAGAACCAGCGACTGTCAGCAGCGGAACATGGCCAGCTTGCCGAATTGCTAGTTGCCAAGGACGAAGAGCTCAAACAGACCCTGGTGATCGGTCAGTTGATCATATACCGGCGCGAAATCGTGTGTAGCGTTCGCGCGTTGGAAGTTTTCACGGCTTCTCGTTACAGCTGCAGGACAGGCAGAAGTCCAGAAAACGATAAACAGCCTCCAAGAGGAGGTGGAAAAGCAAGACCACGACATCCACTTGCTTCAATGGCAGCTGAAGGAAGCGGAACACTTGCTGGTACGTTTCTCTCAAATGTCGTCCAACATTTGAGAACGACGCACGGTATGAAAAAAAAAAAAAAATCAAACCTTTCTTGTGTAAGGAGGTGGTGACTGTTCGCGCTCCACTACCATGGCGAAACCGAACGTGTGCACAGCGCATAAAACCAAGTAAAAAGAAATGCCTTGTTTCTTTTCCAACCTTTACGCCGGGTGCTGCAGGAATATAACATAGTCTGAGTGTGTGAGGGGCAGCTTTTCTGCCATATAACATCACCTTCTCTTCAACTGCTCTTTGTTTTTTCGATAGCTTTCTCCTGGAAAATGGGCACGCTCACCTAAAGCACCTATGTCGCTAGTTATACCTTCATCTGTTCTTTCTTTTTTCCAGTATACTGTGCTTTCAACTGTGTTTGTGACATTAATATTGCGGCCAATTTATGTGCTAGGCCGTATTTTTGTGGTACTGCGTTTTGTCTTATTGGTTTGGCGTTATGCAATTTTTCAAGCTGTAATATTAATTGCAGACGGAAGCAAGTGATACAGAGTGCTACTGTCAGTAGAGCTTCTTTTTTTTTTTTTTTTGTTCGAAAAACCCGTGCACAAAGAAATCGTTGGTGTGCACGCTTCGTGCTATTGGCTTTTGTCCTAATGCCTGGGCGATGCAACTTTGCAAGGTACATTATAAAAATTTTAATGAGAGAAAGAGAAGTACAGAAAGCTTTCACAAAAGGCAGGAAGGTTAATCAAAACAAAAAAAATTGGTTTGCTACTCTGCACTGGGGGTCATAGAAAGGTGAGGAAAGAAGAAAAGAGGATTGGTTAAAAAATGTAAATGAAAGAACAAGGAATATAATAGAAAGATGGCTGATAATTAATGTAGCCATTAATTATTCTGCTTTTTCTTGGTGTTGCAGGGGCACATGCCCAATTATTTGATGCCTTATACACTAAAATTATTTTTATGAGGAGATTCCCAAAATCTGAAGTAAACTTCAGCAGATAATAACAGTTGATAGTGCGACTTGCTTATCATCTCATAAAACCCAGAAACCTAGCAAAGTGTCCATACAAGCTTTGCATGTCACAATGCTTAAATTTTTGAAATAGTGCCAACAGCACCAAAAATATTAATGAAACTATCTGATGAGTTCACTACGTAACTTAAAATGCACATGTAATTTAATTACATGATTAATTTTAGAAAATATTGGATTGCGGGACATCACATTCTGAGACGACACCATAATTATAAGGCACACAGTAGTGCGAGGATTCAGGTTAATTTTAACCACCAGAGATTAATTAACATGCACCAAAATCAAAGCAGATGGACGTTGCACTTCCATTGAAATCTAGCCACTGTGGCTGAGAATCAACTCGTGCTCTTGTGGTTAGCAGTGCAATGCCACAGCCATTCAGCAACTGCGGTGGGTATGTCATCTGTAGCCGCAGTAAACTGGAATGCATATTCTTGTATCACAGTCAATATTTCATGGCCTATTTCAGTCTACGGCTATATACCAGGCAAAGCAGAAACTACAGAGCATCGAAAAGGCAAATGCCCGAGCAGTTTCCTCAGAAGAGCTTATAAAATATGCCCATCGCATCAGTGCCAGCAATGCCGTGGCAGCACCACACAACTGGCAACAAGGTGAGCTTAGTGTATTGTTTCACTTGCGCGCTATAGTTTCGTCTCTGTGTTTTCACAATGCCGTCCCCTGGCCTCTGCATTTTGCATTTTAGGTGACCCACGAAGGCCGTACCCGACGGATATAGAGATGCGACAGGGTTATCTTGGTCGGTTGAGTGACCTGCCTCTCACAGGGCCTACCCTTCAGCCACAGGGGAGCTTGGGAGACCTGAATGCTGCCCGCCACCTTGGTGAGCCTACACAACACGGATCTGGTCTAGCTCAGTTTCCAGTTTGCCTCATCCCGATGTCCTAAAGGGAAACCAAAGTTACCCTTCCACAATGTTAAGAGCATCAATTTGCTGTGATAAGAAGCTTGGCAAGCCAGATAACTGTGCTGCCATATATTTTTTTATGGTGCTTGTTAAGATATAATTCTATATCGGTAAAAATGAATTACATTGTGTTCTATGGGAGCCAGAGTCTTGACATGGCAAGATTTAGGGAATTATATTTAGCCAATGTGGCCTAATGTGAAAAAAAAAAAAAAGAATTGAAATTCGTCACATTATAGTTGTATTGAGATGCTGGAGTATTGACGAAAAAGAACTAGCAACTGGTGCAAATAAAAAAGTTTCAATACCAAGGATGACACTGTTGCTGTTTTGTCCATTTCAGACCAGAATCCTCTGGGGCAATCATTTTCATGGCAGATTGGAGGAGATATCAAGCCACCCATTTCCAGCAACCACAACTCTGTTGGTATGGATGCCAAAAGCAAAGAGAATGAAGATGTGGAGGTCATGTCCACCGACTCTTCTAGCAGTTCTTCCAGCGATAGCCAGTGAAGAGACAGTAATTTTTCATTGTATATATCAACAAAGTGTGTTTGAGCAACCTGTACGGCTTGGTGTTGGCCTGTTCTTTCACCATCGGTATGTGGCAGGTTTATGCTGTGCCACGTCCATCAGGTATAGTCAACTTAAATGCAAACCAAAAGAACTTTGTGTAAAATCACTAGCAAAGCTTCAATGTAGTGCAGCTGAATGGGGCAGAATAATTTCGTACATATATTTCAGCATTCCTGTGCTAAAAGTCACGTTCGTCAGTTTCTGCACCGTAGATGCATGCCTGTAATTGTTTGGTTTCTCACACTACATCATGCTGAATTGAAGCTGAACTGTGTACAACTACTGTCAGATAACCCAAACAATGACGATGCATTTTTAAACAAACACCAAACGCAAATATTAAGTCAATGTTGATTGCTGAAATAGCTGTCCAGGAACATCGTAGTGGTACTTTTGTGCCAAGGAAGCGCTTATTCTGAAATAACATGTTTTGATTGAAATGGTCCACTTTGCATTAGCACATTTCAAATTAATTCCCCACTTGAAAATGGTCTTTCCTATGTCACTGTTGTCGTGCCATTATTGCCCGCGTATACTGTGCAGCAGCCGACACTAGTAGCAGAAGAGCGAAAGTAGCGGGAGTTGCACTCAAAAGCACTTATTGAACAATTTTCTTTAATCTCGGAGGCCATGTTTTGCTTGCTTGGTTCAAATAGGTGCTGCTAGATGGCACTACCTATCCAGCCTAACAACACAAAAACTAACTTGTCAACTACTTGCACCATTTCCCATAGTAAAGGCAGGCGGTTCTTTTTTTTTCTATAAATCAAACAGAAAGGGGCAAGCAGCATTTTATTATGTATCTACATGCACGGAAGGTTCTTCATTTATTGCAGCCAGTTTGATTCCTAGTCATTAATTGTAGTTGGATACTCTCAGATTGAGATCTTTTTGCAAATGTCCCACTCGTGGCGCATGTCATGTGATACATTTAGCTTAACTTCTTGGCAAGCAAAACACTGCTGTCGATAGTATTGTCGTTTTAGACGTCGTACACCGAGCTTTCTCTGTGGCACAAATTGTCATCCCCTTTAAGTGTACAGTGGTAGAAGTGTTGTGTGAGCAGCATTTCAGTATTCTCTTTGCATGTCGCACCTCAGCATTACACAAACCAACCAATACAGAAAGTATTTGGGCTTTTGAGTTCTACACCACCCACTAATGATCAGGAAATTATCCAGCAGACACATACCTCATTCACCAAGTACCTTAACACTAACTTGATGTTAAAGCTGAAAGTGGCAAATGCTTAGCTAGCCTGTTCATGGAGCTGGAATTCTCTATCAAACTCCACAATAACAACTACAAGGCACATTATGCTTGTTTGGATAAGGTAAGGCAGCAATTGCACCAAAATGGGTCAGTAAAGAATGTGGCATATTGTGCATACAGCAAAAAGAGAGGCTTCAGCAAGTTCTGCATGGTCAAGTTTTTTAGTTGACACTCCATGCATCACAAATCTGGATGAAAACTGTTGCGATTATACTACACAGCAAAAGAATGCATGAACATGCAACACCTAACTGCTGTATCTATTGCCATTCTGTCAAGATTTTAAACAGAAAACTTGGCAGGATTGCACTCATATGTATGTAGACAGCCCATTTCTCAAATTTGTTTGGATAAACAGTCTTATATGCAGATTAATCATTACATTTAATTCAGTTTTCATTATGAACTGGTGTGCATCTCGCATGCAATACATATATATTTTCTAAAAAACTAGTGTGGCATTTCTTGCACATAGATAAACAATTAAACCATATCATTTTAGCTGATTCTCTGCTTAACTATGAAGACAAAAGTTATCTTCTGGGTAGAATGCAGGCTTTTGGAAAGGATATCTGGAAAGCTGTCTTATAAAAGTGGTTGACCGTATAGGTGAGGGGGGTAACCCTTACACCCATCAGGCACTAACAACCCTAACTAGTGACTGCATTTAGTGTTAAGCAAGTGAATGCTGAAATGTACCCTTGACAAACAGATGCAAAGTTATGATAATTGCAGATTTCAGTGCACATTTCTTTGGTGACACTGGCTCATCCATTGTTTCTTTTTATTTTTTATGCTATGTTCTCAGAGTTGAGACAAAACACTAACATGCCCAAGCGTCCCTCCTGGAATCAAAGAGCTTGGCATTATAATCTCAATATTGTTCCAAAGGAATGTATTCAGGCTGGTAAACTCACTTCCTCTGAACTTTTAGATAAGCAAAAGGGCCCTATAAACTACAGCAGTCTCTCAGTTAATCAGAAAAACGGAACTGTTGCTAAAATGAAACAAAGCTGTTTAATAAAGTTTCACAATTTGATTCTGCACCCTGTTCATCTCACAGTAAATGGAACCTATTTTCCTGGTCCCTTCATGTTTAGTTTAATGAGAGAGTACTGTGTTAGAGTTCACATAAGGCCATAAAATTTTGAATAGGAAAGTACTAACACTGATGCCAATATTCCATGAATGCCTAAAGGGAAACCAAAGAGGTAAACAATTTTTCTGTTATTAACAAATTACCCTTTCACAATTCCAAAATCACAGCGCTTGCTGCGAGAATACTGTTGGTAAGCGAAGAAACGGACAAAGAAGATGCGGGTGGCTATGCCACCTTCAAATTCCTGCAGCAAACACCGCGATGTAAATTTTGACAGTGTGTACCAAGGCCTACGTAGCTCTTGATAGCTAAATATGAAGCACAACGTCTGCCGTTAGTCAGAGACTTGACACACCAAGTTTCGGGAAAATTCGTCGAGCCAGTCACAGCAAAATACGATAAATACACTTTGAAATTCGCGACACCACGTGCGTAGATTTGGGTGCATAATTTAAAAGTGGTACTTTGACATTGATTTTTTTCTTTAATATTGATGATGGTAGGTTAACTATGATGATAAGGTTAACGACATTAGACCTTCCAGAGAATGATTTGTCTGTCTAAACCACTTCATTGTTTCACTTTAGTGTACCTTTAACAACAGGGGCTCGTAGCAGTTTTACAATCTATCCAATACACTCTCTGTAAATGGAAATCTGTAAAACAAAACTGCTGCTTAAATGGAACAACTGCCTGTGATATGATTGGTTTAATCTACTGCACCTCAATTCACCTCTCAGTAAATGGAGCTTCTGTTAAACGGAACAGATTTTCCCGGTTCTTCAGGTTCCTTTAATAAGAGTCCACTGTATTTAAAAATACTGAACACTACCTCGTGCACCAAAACATGCCGATGTTTTTTACACCTTTGTCATGGGTTTGAATATTCGAAATAATTTTGCTGAATCATCGAACTCCAAGTGAATTTGTGCCCAGACAGTTCGAATTTTGAGCCGTCCCCGTAGCAGGGCACCCTCATATCGTATAGCAGAAGACGCGAAGTTGCCTCCAATGCAGGCCCCACGGTCCCGGCGCCAGTCAAAGTTCAGTGTAAACACCGTGTGTACCAGCGCCGCAGAAAGAACGGCTCCTCTCTCGCAATTGACCCCCGAAGGAATCTCAAGAGAGGGCCGCCATAGCCCTGAAGCTTTGAGGGTTGCAGAATTTGTGCTTTTCAACTGAGAAAGGTTTGTGTAGTATGCTATCTGTTGGGGTAAGTTGGTTTTTCACTTGCTGGTCACGAGACTTTCATACGCATCACAGTTCAAGTGTCTTTTTATTGTTCCAACTCATTTACAGGCTTCCTTTGTGTGCTCCATTAACTTACAACTAATTAAAAAGAAAAGAAAAAAGGGGGTGCGGGGTTCTCCTTTTTTCTCGAATGGAACATGGAACATCACGACTCTCTCTCAAACATCAAAAAAAGAGCACATTGCAGCAGGTTTAACACACTCACGCACGGGCACAAACCACTGTCCATAGCAGTATGCTTATTCTCTGGCTGTTACGACATGCCATTCATCTTCAACCGCTGCCGGCTCGATTTGGAGTGCATGCACCACAGCCACACGACCATTTTGCAGTCGTGGCCACCGAAAAAGCGTGTCAGAAGAGAGACAACCAAGGCACTAATACCAAGGCTTGATGATGTGCAACAAGGGAAGCAAAAACTTGCCACATTCTTTACAGCGTAAAAAATAAAAGGTAATGAAACAATGAGTTGCACAAATGTTGATGCCTGACAAATGAAAGCCGCCACAGTACGCCTTGCCACAAGCAGATGCCACTGCAAAGTTTTGCAGTGACACATGCATATCTTTCAAGCTTTTTGAGAGGCAACAACCTCCACACATAAAAAAAAACAAGACTAAACTTTTTTCTTTGCTCAATCAACTAAAAAACAAAAGGTAAAGGCAAGTGGCCACTGAAATGCTACGTATGAACAGTAACAGCTCAACAACCTGAACAAAACAAGCAAGAAGATAAGGGGTGGGGGAAAGCTAAAAAAAATGTTCTCAGATATGTAGCAGAATACAGGTAATTGTGAAGAATAGACATCATGCAGCTCACGTGCGCTGCGTTCTCTTCAGCAATGACCCAATAAATAGCCTTTATGGCTATCCTCCACTCCCCGAAGAAGGGGAGGTGCTTTTTTCCCACTGGGCGTACAGGATAAGAGAAACACTGCACACCAAGGCGCACATCGACATTGTAATGAATGCTTGGGCGGCAAATAAACGTACAAAAATGGAGGTGTAGGGGAGCGTAGCAAGCACAGTGTCCAGAGCCTCGATGATGGGGGGTCTCCAATGGTGTTTTTCAACCGTCACACCTTCTCTCCTGGTCGTCCCCCCACAATGTCCCGGTAGGGCAACGGGCACTAAGCAGTGCCCCTCAGGAGAGGTGAAACGAATGCTGGCCTTCGCTGGATGCGATGTGCAGTCGCTCGCGCATCACTCTAACGTCCGAGTAGTCTGGCAGCTTCAGGTAGTTGACACAGGTCATCACAGAGGGCAGATAATCGTCGGGATTCTCGTTTGGCTCAAAAGTCTTCCGCACAATGGTCAGTGGTGGACTCAAGCTTTTGAATCCTGAAATCCAAAAGATGCACACTCCAAATA